CCAGTGTCCCTCAGGTGTGAGTCATTCTTTATTCCCTGTGCTTGAATATTAAACCAGTCTTTATTTTAATTCCATTTAAGTATTGCATCCGTGTTTGATTCCTTTTGATGAGCTAAGCCTACTTAAAAAAAAAAATCTATTCTGAGCCCTTGCCACAGCATGACAATGGAGGCACAATACATAGTTGTAGGTGAAACAAAGTTCATAATAAAAATGAAAGCAGAATATTTCACCAAAATATGCAGGAGAAGGTATATGTGGAGATTTGCATTGTTACAGCTTTCTTTTCTTTTGTACTTGTGTGTTTTAGTACCAACAAGTGTTAAAGCAGTGTTGGCATTAGCACTTTTCTTGATACTTAGAACCAGAATAAATGCTTTTGTGACTCTTGACTTAATTTTAAAATAGAAGCTGTAATATTAATGGAAATTAAACATTGTAAAAAAAGGAGGGTATTGCATATAAGCCCCACTAAGCCAGGTTTTTAAAAATTAGACTAACGCAGTTAAGAGCTGTTTACCTCTTAAAACTTGTTTTCCTCTGTTTAGTAAACTGTCTCACTCTCAAGAGTATCGTAAAGGGCTAGAGTTGTGGCTCAGTGGCAGAGCACTTTCCTGGCATGTGTGAGGCTCTGGGTTTGATCCTCAGCACCGCATATAAGTAAATAAAATAAAAGATTCATTGACAACTAAAAAATATTTTTTTTAAAAAAGAGGCATCATAGGTTTTTCAAAAAGACTAAAAAATACGGAATTGCAAGTAACAAAAAAAGATAACTGTTTTTGAGCCAGTGTTATAGGGTCTTTTGGGGTGTGCCCTGTACAAGTCTAGAGTGTACCACTGACAAAGATGACGATGTGATCCCAATAGTATATACAACTATAATGCAGGGGAAAAAACAAAATAATGCAAATGCTATCTCCTGGAGTCAGGCAGTGCATATCCACATACCATGGCTTTGAGTTGTGCACCTATGATGTACTTGTACCAGGTTAAGTGCCTTGCATACACTATTTCATAAGTTGAGGTTTGGTGAGATCCAAGAGCTACATAGCTGGTATATGGTAGATCCGGGATTTTAATGGGTCTGCCTGACTTCAGAGATTGGTGCTTTTAATTCAGTACTATTTACTTTTCTGACCTATCATAACTTATCTGCTTAGAAGGTAAATACATATTGAACAATTTTATTACCTGATCTTTAAAGCATTATTGAGCTTTTAAAATTAAAATTGGTATTCAGGATTTGCTGTTTGTACTTGAAAAATGAGCATAAAATGGAATTGTGTTAAACATTGACATGACCACAAACTCTAGGGTTAGATTGCCTGGATCTGATGGAATTCTGGCTTCCCACCTTCATAGCTCACTTCATTCTCACTCACTATAAGCTTTACTTTCTACATCAGTAAATAAGAATACTTTTCCCTTCATAGTGGTGAAGGTTGTATAGTAAAGCTCCTAAGAGAATTCTGAGCATGTAGCTAATATTTGTGAGCAATTAAGTATTTGCTATCATTTCTCTTTTACTCTGAGTGATTCTTTTATATGTTTTGTTTTGTAGGCAGTATGCAACGTTGCTCCACGTGGTGTGTATGTCTGTGGTAACACTACGACTAGCTCTGGTCTAACTGTAACTCTTTCAAAAGATAGTTCCTCTGGTGATTTTGCTTTGGAAGCTGGGGCTCTGGTACTTGGTGATCAAGGTGAGAGATAACAGGGATATTAGTCAATAATTATTTGTTGTTGTTGTTGTTTTTAGATATACTTGCTAGTAGAGCATATTTTGACATATTATACATACATGGAGTATAACTTTGTTTTTGTGGTTGTACATGTTATGGAGTTAAACGGGTTGTGTATTCATATATGAACATAGGAAAATTATGTCTGATTCATTCTACTCTTTACTATTCCCCTCCCCCTTCCCTTCCCACTAATCAATAATTCTGCGTTTTTGTTCTTTTTTTTTTTTTCCAAGAGGCATTACATTTGGTCCAAGAGGCATTTGGATAGCATTGCTTAACCAGTGAGTTGCCAGTGAATGTCAGAATTCATAATTGAAAATATGGTACTTATAATGTTTATTTAGACTATAGAATTAAAACTGGAACTTAAGTCCTTTATTTTCAGAATCTCTTAGCACATACAATTACGTATAAAAATTAAGTTTTGGAGCTTGTAAGCTCTCTATAGAGTAGGATTTAGATATTTTGTTGATTGACTATTCACACTGACTAGTATTTAGGTGCTCATTTAATACATATTGAATGTATTAATGTTACTTAGTTCAAAATAGTCTGGTTACCTTGAACTCAAAAGAAAGTGGATGTCATCCTATACTAAAAAGAGACTTGCCATATAAGTTTAGAGCTGTCACTTTAGAATTTTAGTTTTCCTATATTTCAACCCATCTCATTAGGGTTTTTCCAGGGTTTGAGTGATAAGTAGGACTCAGCAAGAATGGATCCTCACATTAGATGTTAGTACTTAAGGAGCCTTAAAACATGTTCCTTATGCATGTGTCAGGAAGTGTCCAGATTCCAGGCCAATGGAGAATATTCTTTGAGCTTGCCAGTGATCTCATTATTTCTAAGTCCAGTATTGTCATCCACATTTGACACAGCGGATCACTCCTCCCTTTTGAAACACTTGAAACTCGGATGTCAGGCCACCATACTTTGCTAGGTTTCTTCTTACTTCACTTGCTATTCCTTCTCAGTCTTTAGTGCATCTTCATCTCCTCAGCCTCTTAACTAGTAGGTACTTTAGGTACTTAGTTCTTGAACCTTTTGTCTTCCAGGTCTATACTTACTTTATTGGAGGTCTTGAACTTAGTTTCATGGCTTTGTTTACCTACTTGTCTGCTAAAAATTCCAAAATTTATAATCTTTTCTCCTTTGAACACTAAGCACATATTCTTATCTATATAGTATCTCCATCAATTTCTCAAATGTAACATGTCTAAAGCCAAAATCCTCATCTTGCCTTTTAAGCCTATTCCTCATCAGTAAATAATTTCATAGTTCTATTTGCTTAAATCAGGAAACATGGAGGCATCCTTGACTTGTTTTTCATACACACACCTAACTTCTTAGTAAATCTTCCTTTACATTTAAAATCTATCCAGTATCTACTTCTTCATTGCTCCTACCCTGGTCTGTGACATCATCATCTCTCACTTGGATTCTTACCTTTAATGACTTTACCTCTTTCTATTGTTTTTAATGAAGTAGAGTAATCTCATAAAACCTTGATTTATGTTATTCTTTTGCTCAGCTGCTTATCTTAATCAGAGTGAAAGCCAAAGTCATGAGGGTAGTCAAGGGCCATTCACATTCTGGCCATTCATCACCTCTTCTGCCTCATTACTTACTGCTTGTCCTCTTCTCTAGCTATACTGGCCTCCTTGCTGTACCTTGAACATCATCAGAATTCCAGGTGTATCATATTCCTGCATCAGGGCCCTTGTTATTAATCCCAGGAATCCCACGTTTGTCTGCAAGCATTGTTCCTTTCCTACCTCATGTTTTTGCTCAAGCATTCTGCCCCAGCAAGTCTTTCTAAACATATTTTAAGTAGTCATAGCATCATCCTTCACACTGTTGCTGCCTTAGCAACTACTTTTTTTCTTTACACTACTTTTTCTTTCCATAGTACCTACCATTTCCCATATGATTTACATTTTTAATTGTCTGCCTCCTGTCAACTGAGAATAATGTAAGCTTCACAAGGGTAGGGAATATTGTCTTTTTAGTAGTATATCTTGCATGCCTAGAATATAGTACTGGTATGTAGAAGTTATTCAATATTTATTGAGTTAATAAACTCAAAATTATAATATAGCATATCAGAAGTGAGAGTATTTTTGCTGAGATACCAGGTGAAGGAAATAAGTACATGAAAAGAATACTTTTTGTTAAACCATAAAACTTCTCATTTAGAAGTTGAAGGTGATTTGGAGGTTTAGCTGTATAGACAGTTAATGGAATTTGGGATTTAAAATGCAGAATGTGAAGAACCAGTGTCATCTCTACCAAATATAAGTAGATAAGTTAGCGCTAGGATGGTGAACTGTTAAAATAAAAAGAAATTTTACAAATACAAAGGAAAGGTCAGCAAAGATTGGGTTCTAGAAACAAACACAGGATCCTACTAAAATCTTTACTGAAGACTTTCAGGGGATAAAACAAGTAATAAAGCTGTGTAATACTTCCCTTCTTCAGCATCTAATGAAATGACCAAAAAATGTTAAATTGCATAATTTAACATTTATATTTGAACAGGAAAATGAGTTTAATGCTTTAAAATCAGGGGTCAGCAAATTTCAGTCTATAAATCAAGCTCAGCCTGTAATCTGTTCTAATACAGTACACAAGCTAAAACTGGTTTTTATGTTTTTAAAGGGTTGTAAAGAACAAACCCAAGAATGTACAAGACTGTAGTGGCCTGCAAAACTGGAATATATACAACTGTTCCTTTATATTAAAAGTTTGTTGTCTCCTACTTTACACTCTGCAAAGTAGCAGCCAGAGAGGAAGTAGCCTTGATTTTGTTCCTATCCCATCCCTACCTCTGAGGAAAAGTACTAGTCATTTTGAGAATTTCTAATAACACCATTGATTCCAGAGAGGTGTGGGCAGACAGAGTAATAGGCAACACATGGAAAATTTGAGATAAAGCCTTCACATACCCTACTGCCAAGACCAGGGAAAAATCATAGGGAAGGCTCACTATCATTCAGAGTGCCTTACTGAATAGCTGAGACAAGCTAATGTACAGGGATCTTCTGTAGTGAACATGAACACAGTCTCAACAGTGAGGGGTGAACCTTTTCAAAAGAGAGATGAGTAACAAAGCCTCTCCCAAATGTTTGGGATACTGAAAGGTAGGGTTAACACCCTAGTCTGCAAATTGTAGATAAAGAGGAAAAAAAATGGGTCAAAAAAGTGCCCAGTCTAGATAAAATTGTAATTGAAGGAACCAATGAAAATTCACCCTGAATTTTTCAAACATTTAATAAGTACATGAATTTAATGAAATAAAACAAGTGGAGGACGTGGTAAGGACACTATAGATAGCAAGTTGATGACTAGCAATATAATTACTAAAGCAGCATATAGCACTAATCCTGCCAAAGGAGAAATTAAAGGTACAGAGGAAGGTTTAAGATAATCTCAGCAAATGCAAAAGAAAAGAACAAAGTTTAAAATAATTAGAGGGGCAATTATAGAGACAAAAATGAAGGGCATTTGACATAAAAGATACTTAACTCCATGAATTAGAGAACCCAGTAAATGAAACCAGAAGTGGATCATGGAATCTTGAAATTTATACAGAAGACTAATCAGCAGTTATTTCTCATAGCACCTCTGAGCTAGCTAATAAAGTTTACCTGGATATAGAGTAGATATACATGAGGTTAACCCACAGCAAAGTCCTTCAGATATGACCCCTTAACAGCTAATTTAACTGATCTGGGGAAGTGGGAAGAAGATATTACAATGTGATATTAGGAGGTTTTCATTAACTTATGGATTATATAACATTCTTGCCCTAGCACATAAAATGCCTTCAGTCAGTGGTGGTGCTTTGTTTTAGATTTAAGTTGGTTAAGTGATTCCCTGCAAGTGTATGATTAGAACCTGGTATTGTTGACAGCTGTCCCTAGATTTTCTGTTCTATAGGGCCCATACTCTTCCTCTCAAATTATGCTGTCCCACTATCCCTACAAGATCTCCTTTTAACCACTCCCCACTCCAGAAAACTCATCTTACATAATTATGCATATCTCATAGGATTTTTAAAGTATTTTTTAAGTATTTTTTAATTAAGTCCATAAGCATTTTGAGTATGCTTATATCTTCATTTTTGCAACTCTCACAACATAATGCTATGGAAAAGTGGTGAATAAATAAATATTACATAAAACTTAGTTAAACAAAACAAATATAAAGCAAACAGTAATTTTCCATTGTATGACCTTTTTTTAACTAGGAACAAATTGAAATAATTATTTATTGTAGAATAATCTATCTTACAAAATTTGGAACTTGACCAAAGAAAAATATTTTTTGTCCATATTATTCTACTGCGATTGTAGGCATTTGTGGAATAGATGAATTTGATAAGATGGGGAACCAACATCAAGCCTTGTTAGAAGCCATGGAACAGCAAAGTATTAGCCTTGCTAAGGCTGGTGTGGTTTGTAGCCTTCCTGCAAGAACTTCCATTATTGCTGCTGCAAATCCAGTTGGGGGACACTACAATAAAGCCAAAACAGTTTCTGAGAATTTGAAGTAAGTCTTTTCAAACTCAAATATTTATGACTTTAAGATCATGAACCCTTATAAACCAATAAAAAGATAATAGGATATAAATGGATAGTTCACAGAAGTTAAAAGTTCCAGTATATAAAATGTGCTTGAGTAGTGGAAATTAAAAACAATGTAGTACTATTGATAACTACCAGATGGACAAATATTTTAAATTTCAACAGTCATTATTGGCAAAGGAGTGGGGAAATGGGTTCTCACATACACCATTAGTATTTTGAGGGAAGACCTGCTATGTTTATCACAGTGTTGTAAATATATAATCACATTTGCTTCAACCATTTTACTTTTGGGAGTCTTGGTCACAGAAAAAAGGCATAAAGATATACTTTAGGGTGGCTATTGAACCACTCTTTATCACTGGGAAAAAATCAGAATACTTAAAACCATATTAAAATTGCACAGTAGAGAGTAGCAATTTAAGAATGAAAGTGGCTTTGAATGTACTGATAGAAAAACATTTTTATGCTTTGTTATTGAGAAGACCATGTTACATACTTACAAATATATTGTGATCTCACTTTTTAAAAAAACAATGTTTATATGTTAAGCATGTGTACTTTCTCTTCTAATTAGTTTTGAACAGTTTGGATGAAATATGGAAAGTGGAAAACAGATTTAAATATTGCAAAAGTGAGAAAAAGACTAGAGTACTTCATATGAAAAATTAGAACCTTAAATCTAGTGAGGGGAGAAAGCTAATTTTCTAGTTTTTAAAATTTTATTTATTTATATTTGGGGGGTGGGTACTAGGATTGAACTCAGGGGCACTCAACCACTGAGCTACATCCCCAGCCTTATTTTATTTAGAGATACGGGGTCTCTCACTGAGTTGCTTGGTGACTCACTGTTGCTGAGGTTGGCTTTGAACTCACGACCCTCCAGCCTCAGCCTCCCAAGCACTGGGATTACAAGCGTGAGCCACTGCGTCTGGCTTTATTATTTATGTTTTTGAGATGAAGATCTCATTGTGTGGCCCAGGCTGGTCTTGAACTCAGGGCTCAAGTGAACCTTCTGTGTTAGCCTCTCCAGTAACTGGACCTACTAGGTGTGTAACATCACCCTGGCTAACTTCTTAATATTTAATGATTTATACTTCATATAAAAATAGTCTTTGATACATCATTAAATACACAATTATACTTGAGGATCTGGAGCATTTCCGTGCTATCACCACCAAAAATGTCAATCTATTAGGAATTTTTCTTTAGTGAAGTATTATAAAAATCAGAAAGATCCTCTTGAATAAAAATATAGGACACTTGGACTCTGATTTTAGTGGCATCATAGACCTGTTTTGGAGCCTTCATCACATTGTTCAGTCGCTCCAGATTTCATTTCTCATGTCTTTAATTAATTAATTAATTTTAATTAGGTATGCATGACAACAATGCATTTTGATTCATTGTACACAATAGCAGCACAACTTACATTTCTATGGTTGTACACAATGTAGCGACATCATAAGTGCAGTCATACATGTACCTAAGGTAATAATGTCCATTTCGTTCCACCATCTTTCCTGCCCCCTTGCACCCTCCCCTCTCTACCCTCCTTCCCTTTTGCCCAACCAAAGTTCCTCCATTTTTTCCCATGTCTCCCCCATATCCATTATGGATTAGCATCCACTTATCAGAGAGAACATTTGGTCTTTGGTTTTTTGGGATTGGCTTACTTCGCTTAGCATGATATTCTCCAACTCCATCCATTTACCTGCAAATGCCATGATTTTATTCTCTTTTAATGCTGAATTATATTCCATTGTGTATATATACCACAGTTTCTTTATCCATTCATCTATTGAAGGGCATCTAGGTTGCTTCCACAGTTTAGTTATTGTGAATTAAGCTGAAGTTACCTGGATTGATGGGTTCAGAGAAGATGACTAAATAGAACATTTTGCATTTTCTTTCTAATGACTAATAGACTTTGAAGAAAAAGTAGGTTTTTGCTTCTGAATGAGACAAGTACTTTGAGAATTTCAATGTTTTGGTTAGAAAAAAGATATAAAAGCTTAAGACTCAATTAAATACAGCCTCTGATAGAAAATATAACATTGCCAGTTAGTAATAATAGAACATAAAGGAGAAGTGGTTTTAAGGGTATGGAAAGGGGAAATGTATCCTCAGCCTACCAAGGTTAGGGTCATCTTTGTCTCATGCATATACTGAAGGTTGTAATAGATATGTTGAATCCAAAAAACTATTTGCTGATGTCTTTAACCTAAAGCTTGATTTAAGTTCTACATGGAACTTGGGCACTAAACAAGTGAGTAAATAGTAATCTAGATTTTCTACTTGTTTTGATTCCAATCATTGTTTCTTCTTTCTTTCATACTTCCTAGAATGGGGAGTGCCCTACTATCCAGATTCGATTTGGTCTTTATCCTGTTAGATACCCCAAATGAGCAGCACGATCACTTACTCTCTGAACATGTGATTGCAATAAGAGCTGGAAAGCAGAGAACTGTTAGCAGTGCCACAGTAGCTCGTATGAATAGTCAAGATTCAAATACTTCCATACTTGAAGTGGTTTCTGAGAAACCATTATCAGAAAGACTAAAGGTATACATGTTTTTCCTTAATCCTTCAGTTTGGTTCTATTTGAATGTTCAGTGTGTGACAGAAGTTGGGTTTATGGCACCATAATGGGACCTAGATTCAATTCCCAGCAACCAAAAAGAGATTAAAAAAAAAAAGTTCAGTGTTTGATTTATGGTAGAGCAATAATATATAAACTTTCATACAATGATACTAGAGTTTATGTAAACTTTGAAATCATCTAAGTCAGTGAGAATGAGAACTACAGCTATAATGTTTTCTTTGTTTAGAAGTACATATTTTAGAATTATATATTTCTCTAAACAAGTTATTTTAGCAGGAAGATTTTATCGCTGCTTATTCTGTAATCTTGGGCCTTTCTATCATGCTTTAGGTGGTTCCTGGAGAAACAATAGATCTGATTCCTCACCAGCTATTGAGAAAGTATATTGGCTATGCTCGACAGTATGTCTACCCAAGGCTGTCCACAGAAGCTGCTCAAGTTCTTCAAGATTTCTACCTGGAGCTCCGGAAACAGAGCCAGCGGTTAAATAGCTCACCAATCACTACTAGGCAGCTGGAATCTTTGATCCGTCTAACAGAGGTTTGTTAATTTTACATTCATACTGTTTTTGTTTTTCTTTTTTTTTTTTTTTGGCAATAAGAGGGTAGATGTAATTTCCATTTTGATCAAATTGCTGCACAACTGACTTAGTTTTTCTTCCTATGGAGAGATGTTAAAAATTGATGTATAAGTGTTTAAAAAGATTGGTCACAACTGTAACATGTCAACATATAGTGATTTCTTTCTAGGCACTGGACCAGTTACTTACTATGTAACTTTTCTTTTTCTTTGAAACATTTGACCACTGAGCCACATCCCCAGCCCTATTTTGTATTTTATTTAGAGACAGTGTCTCACTGAGTTGTTTAGTGCCTCACTGTTGCTGAGGCTGGCTTTGAACTCTCAATCCTCCTGCCTCAGCCTCCCAAGCCACTGGGATTACAGGCATGTGCCACCATGCCCAACCCTTATTTTTTTTAATGGCACTTGGGAAATTCCTCAAGTGTCTGAAAAGACCATGTTGGGTATTTGGTAACATGAAATGTGCCAAGTACTTAGGTGTTTGATTTGATTACCTAATAGGTCTGTAAGGATAATACCTATTTTTCTAACAGCAATATCTTTTCATTTCACATTTTGGGATGCTACAAGAATTTTTGTAGTTAAAATAATAAAATTTTCTGAAATGAACACTCTTAGAAAAAGATGTTAGTAGGTAGGAATAAGTTTTATCAGTATTTTAAATGTTATTTTTATACTCAAGCTTTTTAATTATTTTTGTAATTCTGACTTTTCCTATCTCCCTCAAAAGTCAGTTGTTATGTACAGTGAATAAATAAGTTAGACATAGCATACATGCTCAAACAGTAGTAAACATATTTAACTTTTGTTATTTTAAAATTCTTCCTTTCAAAGGCACGAGCAAGGTTAGAATTAAGAGAGGAAGCAACCAAAGAAGATGCTGAGGATATAGTTCAAATTATGAAATATAGGTGAGTTTAAAATTTTAAATGCTTTTAAAATGAAAAGATAGTTATCTATCTTCCCATCTCAAATTATATTGTTAATAAGGTTATTTAGCTTATGAGATTATTTATTTTCCTTCAAAGAAATTATACTTTCTTGGTTTAAAATATTTCTGGCTGTGTAAATCTTTAGGTAATTTTTGAGCTTGGTGTGGTATTTCATGCCTATAATCCCAGCAACTTGGGAGGTTGATGCAGAAGGATTGTAAGCTAGCAAAATTTAGGGAAACCTTTGTCTCAAAAAAAAAAAAAAAAGGTTGGGGATGTAGCTCAGTGGTAGAGTGCCTCTGGGTTCAATCTCTAGTACTGAAGTTGGCGGGGAGAGTTAAAAAAAGAAAAAAAAAATTTAATGGGTAATACATTCACATGGTTCTGAAATTAAAAAATACGTATTTTGAAAATGCTTATTTTTATTCCATTTACCACTCATCCTTCCCCTCTGAGACAGCCATTACTTCCCCTTAAATAGCATACTGTTTACACTGTTCTGTACCATTTTTAAATTTAAGGCGGTATCCATAGATCATTCTTTAGTAAATAATAGGGAACTTTTTAAATAGTTACATAGTATTCTGTTGTAAGATACATTGTAGTTTATTTAATCAGTCCCTCATTGCTAGATTCATGAATATTTTTGATTCTTGGCTATTAGAAACAGTGCTACATAAGTAATATTCTATATAAGATGCTTCACTTGTGGGTAAATTGTATTTTAATATATTCTTAAAAGTGATATTGCTGCTTACAAGGTAATTATATTTCAATTTTGATAAACAGTGCTCTCTTGTATCCTTTGCATTTTATATCATTAGGCAGATCATGATTTTTAGAAGGTAGAAAAGTTTTTATTTTAATTGAGTATATATGGATACCTTAGACATGTATTTATTTTTTTAATCAGCAAAAGTAAAAGCTAATTATTTTAGTGTTCTTTTCCCCCCAAATTTTAAATTTTAAATACATTTATAATAAAATTCAAAATTCCAAAGTTAAAAATTAGGTAGTAGAAAAGCTGTCTTCTTAACCTGCTTAATAGCTATCCAGTTCTTCCTCCTCCTGCCTTAGTAGCAACAAATATTACCAATTTTTTGTGTGACTTACAGATACAAAATACTCATCACAACTACATATGTGTATTTTCTTTTTTCCCCTTTGCAGACAGATGGTTGCATACCATATGCAATTGTATATTATATATGAATATTGTATATATTGTATATGTATATTGTATATAAACATTGATTTCATTTAGAAAGTATTTTGGTTATTGTTCCATATCACTGCCTAGAAGAGTTCCGCCCTCATCTTCACAACTTTATCATAATTTAGGTATTAATTTTATTTTTTCAATATGCTCTCACAGCAAATAAAATTTAAATCAATTAGGATTCTATTTTTCCAAGGCCAAAAGTATGTTAAAGATTATTTTATCTTATGCTAAGTCATTTCTATTTCATCAAAGGTAGATGTATTAGTTTTCTAGTTGCTGATATTCTGGGGCTTGCATGGTGTCAGAACTAGGTGGCTTTGCCCAGTTGTTTCTCTTTGGCTATGAATTATAGTGCCTCACAGCTGGAAAAACAAGGCTGTAGAGTCCAATCTGGAGCTGCTAGGCAAGTTAGACTCTGCTCTCAGTCTCTTGTATAAAACACACCACAAAGGATTGTGCTCTGATGTGTCTTCAGTGATGCTATTGAAGGTGATAAATGTGGTTCTGGCACAGTAGTGGACACTCAATGACACTATTTAGTCTCGGTGCCAGCTTCGATATTGAGAATATCCCCTCTTTCCTCTGGCTCATACCATAAACTGAACCCTTCAAAAACTGGCAAATTTTGGATCCCATATTAGAAGATTGCAAAATTACACCATCAAAGAATTTCTAGGGTCTAATTCTCAGTGCTGTCACTCTAAATTGTGCAACAGCCCTCTACTAGAGAATCTTTTTTCTCTTTCCTAATGGGGAAAGACTTTATCTAGTTTTCTTTATCCTCAGTCTGGTATTGCTTCATACATGGAGGCTGCTTGGTTCCCTCAGCTGTCTCTGCAGGTATGCATATGATTAGAAGAGAACCCAAACTGCCTCCTGAAGACCTGAGCAATAATCTGAGCTTGTTTTTTTCTCTTATAAGCAGCGTATTAAAGAGGAGGGACTTTTTCTTTAATTCAGTATGTTAGAGTTTGTCAGCAACAGTGAGGATAGAGAATGGATTGCAAATGATTTGAATTGTGTGTAGCATTATTTCCATGGTAGACCCAGTTAAACATATTGAGATTACATTGGATTATCTGTTTTCTATACTAAACGTGCTTTCTCCTTAGCCTATGAGAGCAGGGACCTTCTCAGTCTCATTTACCACAGTGTATTCTAAGGCCCAGAATCATGCCTGGCACACAGAAGGCCCACATTTAATGCTAAAAGTGAGCTTAGTAATCATTGTTCATTCTTTAAATTTTCTGTTTTAGAGTTTCTTATCTCTTCAGCTTCATTGAAGGTTTGCCCTTAAAGTGGTTTTTGAAACTGTAAAATTACATTTTAATTGGGAAGCCTAAGCTTGACTAAAAAAAATCTGAACTGTGACATAGTTCATCTGAGTTAGCAGGGCACACAGCTGTATATTTTTTGAAAATTAAATGTTTGCATTTAGTAAATGGTACATATAAGATTCTTCTAAAATTGAAAATACACTAGGAAACATAACAGAATAGAGCAACCTTTAAAGGTTGCAGATTATTTTGAGTTTTTTCTATTTCAGGAAAGTAGCTCAAATATCTAACATATTTTTCTTCATATCTGCAACATTGTAGCATGGATTAAAATTCAAAATATGCCACTTATTAGTTGTGTGACCTTTGGCAAGTCACTTAACCTTACCAAGACTTTGTGTCTTCATATGTACAATGGAAATAATAGACTCTAAATCATAGGGTTTGGGGAAGGATTAAATTGGATAGCCTATGGTAAAAAAAATATATAATTAAGGTTAGTGTTACCTAATTATTAACCTAAAGCATTTTGACACCTTATAAGAAGCATACTATAATCATAAAAGCCTAAGTAAAATTATACTTTTCAGAGAAGAAAATACTCATCATAAGTTTTGTTGTTTTATTATAGTCTTATATTCCTATTAGTTCAGTTTGTTTTCTTTAATGTAGGCTATTATCTGTTCAAGGAACACCATGAAAGTTTATTGTTAGTGACTTTAAGATCATTCCTATGAGCTCCATAAGTGCAGGGATTGTACCTGTCTTGTTCACCAATATAAACCCACTGCCTAGCAAGTGACTGATACATAGTTGATTAATTTCTGATTAAATAACATCTTTGCTTCTTAACCTGGCTATGAGTTTGTATCTGTTTCATTGTACAGTTAGGGAACTGGCAATAAAGCTAGATTATAGGCTGGTTAATTTAATCTCTAACTGGTGTTTTCAGACTTCCAGCTAAAACTCACTGTCAAGTGCATATTTCTTTCTTTGGTGATATTGTAAAAATAAGAGAAAGTGAAAGAGAGCTGGAGGTAATATCTAACCATCATTACTGCGCATCAGCATAAACCTAGTTCATTTGTAGAGTATTTTAAAATGTCTTTTCTTTGCCAGATGCCTCCTCTCTAGGAAATAGGAACATATCTTTACCAAATAAAACCTAAATTTATTATGTTTAGAATTTCTTCTTTTCATAATTTAAAAAGAATGTTTCAGGTGTTGTTGTAGTTTATCAACTCTGCTTTTATGTGTTTCTCTTTTCAAATTTAAAATTTTCTTAAAAGCAGTTGTAACTGTGTCCAAAATGTTCTTATCCTAAACAAATGTATACCATACTGGATTTCAAAGTGGTCACTCAAAAAATACGTTTGAATCTTTGCTAAGTGAGAATCTCACGGCTACTTCCAGGTTTTTCTGTTTTTTTTTTTTTTTTTTTTTTCCTTCTTTTTTTTGTACTAGAGATTGAACCCAGGGGTGCTTTACCACTGAGTTATATCCGCAGCCCTTTCTAATTTTTTATGTTTTGTTTTGAGACAGGTTTTTGCTAAGTTTCTAAGGCTGGCCTTGAAGTTGTGATCCTACCTCAGCCTCCCATGTCGCTGGGATACACTTAGAAACCCAGAACAAAAATTCCTATAGCCATGCTATATTGGATAACATTTTCTTTCCCTTTCCTTAAGCATGCTAGGAACTTACTCTGATGAATTTGGAAACCTAGATTTTGAGCGATCACAGCACGGCTCTGGAATGAGCAATAGGTCAACAGCAAAAAGATTTATTTCTGCTCTCAACAGCATTGCTGAAAGAACTTATAATAATCTGTTTCAATTCCATCAACTTCGACAGATTGCCAAAGAGCTAAATATTCAGGTATGATAAACTAAATACTTAATCTTTTTTTATTAATAATTTCAGGAGTCTCATTAATGTATAATAGAACAAAAACAGTTTTTATTTAAGATTTATACCTACCTCTTTACAAAGTTCTTTCAACATCTTCATAGCTAGAGGGAAGCATCATAGCAAGACCCAGTCTCCATACGGGGATTGCTGACAATCCCTGTGGGCAATTCATCTTATTGTCTTTGAACCTCAGTTTCTTCATCTGTTATATGTACATCATTCCATCCATTCTTCCTATTTCAGAGTTCTAGGGAAAAATCAATGTAATTGCATTTTTAAACATGTAAAACAGTTTACATGTTTTGGTAAAATTACTTAATTTTAAAAGCTAGTCTAATTTTTGTTTTTACACTAAAAATATACTGAGGTACAGTAAAAAGTACAAATAATTTTATTTCCCCAAGAAACTTGATAGTTACATATTACTATTGGAGAGATTAAAAAGTCATATTTTGGCTATTACTTAACAGGCTAGTTTTTTTTTTTTTTATGTTTTCTTCCAGGTTGCTGATTTTGAAAACTTTATTGGATCACTCAATGACCAAGGTTTCCTCTTGAAAAAAGGCCCAAAGATTTACCAGCTTCAAACTATGTGAAATGGCTTTGCCATGTCAAGGACTTCATTTAAAGCTGTCTCAAAAATGAAGACTATGTAAAAAATTGTTCTGAAAGATAATGATCTAAAAGTAATACATTAGGAAGAAAGTGTTATAATATAAAAAGTGATAGTCATGTGTTAAAATTTTATAGATTCTCCAAAAAACAAATTATTTACATTGTTTTATCTAAATGAAATAAATTATTTATAGTTGAATTTTTGAATTTTTTTTAATATTTCAGTTTTACATATATTAGATGTTCATCAGGGAAAACATTCAGATAATACCTAAACGAGTCTGTCCATGTTCCAATAAAATTTTCAACATTAAAATCTGAATTTTATAAAACTTTCATGTTGAGAATATAAAATATTCTGAATTTTAAAAAAATAACTATTTAGCAATTATAAGCAGGGTGTCTGATTTGACCCACAGGCTAGTTTTTGTAGACTCTTGGTTGCAAGCAGTAGAACTTGATTAAGTAAGAGAAGAAGTTTTGGGGAAGAATTTTGGTTACCTTACAGAATTGTAAGAAGGCAGATGATCCAAGAGGATAAGCTTCCAGAAGCAATTTGTAAAACCATGCCTTAGAACTGGCCTGAAAAGGAAACTGCTACCACCCTACTGCCACACTGGATGCTAAATAGGAATGTGCTACAGCCCCCATGCCCCACTGATGTCACTTACATACCAGGAACCTCTGCAGAAAGACTAAAGAATACCCCGTACCCACACCAGAAGAGCTACAAAGGGATTCTTCATGGGCATCTTTAAATTGCTGAATTCTAAAGAGAAGCCTAATCCAGAAGCAGTTAAAGAAGGCTTTTCATAGGATGCTAGGGAGTTTTCCCAGTTCTAGTTCAGGAGACTGGACCACTTATGTCAGAATTTTCCACATTTTGTGAGTGAATTAAAATGGAACTAGGCTGCCAGCCAAACTAGCATTTGTGTATGTAGCCAGCAAACACTTTTAACATACAGGCAGTGTGAGCCATTTGGAAAATCTACTAAAACTTTCAGCAAACCAGATGAATGAAAAAAAAATTTAAAAAAAACAAGGTACATTGAATATTTAAACAATAATAAGATCAAAACTAAAATGAATGTGGGATTAATATTCAATGTGAATATTAAAAGCTGATTTTTTGAAAAGGTAGATGGTAATGTAACTATGTCTTTAAAGAATAAACAGACTTAGTATGTTTCATAAGAACTCAAGAGATGATATCAAAAGTAGTAGACATTAAAGAGGAAATAGGACCTTTTGGATCTTTGAAAGATCAAAGGGTAATAATATTAGGTAAAGTTGAAGTTTATGTTTCACTTCCTGCCCAATAGGGGGCCTCCCCTCCTATAAGCTTTTATTACTAATAGTAATAAAAGCTCTGGACTAGGCTTTCCTCTCCTTCCTTCTGCCCAATTTTCCCTTACCAGGGTTATTCAAAATCCATGTCTACCTAGGAGAATTGTAAATGTCTGATTCCAGAGCTTGTTTCTACAATGCTAGAACAAAAAAAATCAGTTTTTCCCTCAGTATCAGCATTTCAACATGTGCATAAGAAATTAAAGATAATCTTGATAAAATGCTCAGGTCTATAATTATGTTCAATTTCAATTGGTCTTTAAGGTCAACTTTAAAGTGGGTATGCCATCACAGACCACCCCCTGGAAGGGTGTAATGGAAGCCACAAGACCCATTCATATTGTTTGGTACAGCAGAAGATGTAGCTCCATGGTAGTGGCACCTCAAATAACCAACAATGTTAATGTGTTAATATGTAACATGTTAATACTGAATACATATTAATCAATGATTAACTAATTCATGACTACTTGGGATTTTCTTAGAACAAGCAAGTTTTTTTAACCTCTAAACCTAATTGTTTTCTATAACTAAAAGTAAAGGTAATACTGGAGGAGCCTGTGTTAGAATTGGGAGGATTAAATGAGATAATAATGCACTTTAGCCTTTATAGTAAGTTCTCTTCCCGGGTAAACAATTAGCAATTTTTATTACTGACATTCTCCATTATTCCTATTTTACACCTAGATATATATGTTCATTTTAATAAAAGCAGGAAAGGAACAGAGAGCTAATACTTAGGCTACACCAGATACTTGACTAATATTTTAAGCCTCCCACAAGGACCCCAAAGCTCCACATACATCTCAAAGGTTGTTTTATGTCGACCAGCCTCGGAGGATTTCACCCTGCTACCTTAGATGACGCCTGCTGCCTTCCAGCCACTTTGGCCAAACAGTCACATGAGTCCGTGCTCCTCTCCCCCTTTCCCAGCCCACTGGCTTTGGTTCTGAGGCCACGCCAGGTACCCACCACTTCCGCAAAGCCCGCGGGATCCTAACGGTACACACCTCCCGTTGCCGCCCGGGGGCGCTGGGGAGCCGAATAGCGTCGGTGTCGCAAAAGTGTCGCGAAGGCGTACTTCCTTGGCGGTTCCAGGCCACCTGTATAAGCGGAGCGTGCTGGGATTTGAAACTAGTATGGAGGCACCAGCGGCCGTGCTTCCCCGGCACTTCGGGGTCTCTATGGAGAAGAGGCTCGCCGGTGACCCGAGCTGCTGAGCTTTCGCCGCCTCGGCCCTCGCGGCACGGCCGCAGGGCCATGCTGGCCTCGCGCTTGGCGCGCGGCTCGTGGGGGGCCCTGCGTGCGGCCGCCTGGGTGCTAGGGGTGCGGTCGGGTAAGGGGCGCTCCCGCGGGGCCTTGCTGCCGCTCGTGCCCTGCTGCCTGAGCTGCCAGGCCGAGCGCTGGTCGCTGCGCCGGGCCGCGCTTGCCCTGCGGCTGCCCAGAGCCGGCCCACGGAGCCACTGCTCAGGCACGGGCAAAGCGGCCCCCGGGCCTGCGGCAGGAGGGGACGCCGCCGCGGAGGCCCCGGGCGGCGGGTGGGTCCCGGCGAGCGCCCCCAGTCCGGTACGTACCGAGCGGGGCGCTAGGGGCGCCGGCTTTCCGGGGTTGGTCCTGGGCGGGAGTGGCGGACGGTGGGCTGTCCCAGCGGTTTGGTTTCAGAACTTTTCCACCATTTCCTGAGAAGTATTCGGCCAGGATGAATTTCAGGGGTACCATCGGGGTCGCCTCCAGTTTAGGTTGTCAAGTTAGAAACCTCGTTCTTATCCTTCTTTATCTGCACCCGTTGCCGAAAGCGCCTATGCATATTGCATTGGTTTAAAAAAAAAAAAAAGTCTTCGCTAGCCTTATCGAAAGTTTGTTTTTAGTTTTCTAAAGCGAATCCCTAAGGTATAGGGCGAATCTGTGGGAATCTTCAGAAAAGTATACAGTCCCTTCCCTTTGCTTGTGCAGGTTTGATTCACCGTAATTTGACCTGACACATTAGGATGAAGTATAATTAAATAGTTTATTAGGTGTAATTTTAAAAGTCCTTTCACCTTGAGTTATAGAGAAAGATTAAAACTGTTAACGGAAATAAATACCTGTCCACTTACCTGTTGAAATACTTCTCAGGCAGAAGACATCAGAGCATGAGTGAGACAGCTTTTGATGTCATGTCAGCAAGGCTGATGCAATTATTACATCTTCAATTGTTAGGTCTTCAGTGGGCCCCTGTACTGCTTTCATCAGTTGTACAGCATGGGTTGAAGTGGCCACATCCTGGCAGGAGTCTCAACTCCACTAATAGCTAAAGCATGTTGGGGTTTGAATGCTGGATGCTTTGAAATTGCCCTGTCCTGGCTGAAGTCCTTCTCAGAACGGCAGTAGTTGGTCGAGTATGCCACAGGTTATCTGGTTGGGTAATCTGAGATTAGCTCTCCTAATATTAACTTTGAAACTTACAAATTTAATAGCTAGAAATTAATGAGGTACTTTATTTTACTGAAATATTTTATGTAGAGCTTAAAAGAACTCTTTAACTGTTCCAATAACTTTCAGTTATTTATTAATACACCAAAGTGGAAGTGGCTTTTTGCAATTTTGTGTTTAATTTTGTCTGATAGGTATCTCTGAGATTATTATTTTGGGGCTCTTCGTTGTGATCTTGATTTGCTTTCCCATTTTCTCAATCATGAATGTTCCCTCTCCACCCCTTCTGTGCGTTGTTGTACCTTTGAATCAGTATTTGACTTCTCTGTACCACAGTATTGTCAACAGACTTTATCTTTTTTCCTTTGGACTCTGACACACTATGATGATTTGCAGGAGTGGAAGATACTGGAGATTGAACCCAGGGGCATTTTACCACTGAGCTACATCCCCAGCTCTTTTAATTTTTTATTTTGAGACGGTCTCGGTAACTTGTGAGGCTGGCCTCCAATTTACAGTCCTGCCTCACCCTCCCAAGTTGCTGAGATTACAGGTGTGTGCCATCACTCCTGGCTCTAAAACACTGTAATATCTGAACTTAAATTTGAAATATATTCTTAGAATGTTTTCATGTAATTATAATGTGTCCTATTTTTAATAAAAGATCTCAAGTAGAGGTTTGATTCTTGTTTAGTGACTGTTCACTGGGAAATATGAAGTTGTTCTGTAGTTTTCAGTTACAGTATTCTGCCACCTGACCCCTCAAACAGTCTCTCTCTCTTACCCCTGTGAACTGAGATGCTTTCTTGCTGGATTCTGTTTATAAACTCAAACTTAGTATTTTTAGAGATGCTTTCTTTAGAGAATGCCTTTTCTTACCCAGTAGTTCATGGTATTTTGAAAGATGAAAGATTTAGGCAACTTGATTACTGATTAAGAAGAGTTAAGTGTAGGGTTAGTTCTTTAAAGTCTCACGGGGTGAAACTGTCAGTCTTGATTCAGTAGAGAAAAAAATCTAGGCTTTAGGGAAAGGCATTTTCTTGTTATTTCTGTACCCTGTTGTGCCGAGAGTCTTAGCTCCGTTAGGCTAAGGGTTTTTTTTTAAATTGAAATACCTTCTTATGAATCAGATTCTTTTTGGCAAGGAAGGGGGTTGTTCTTTAGAGCAGCTGTCAAAGAGCTCTTTGGTTAATGCCAGCTTCTAACAGCTTGGTTCCAAATGAAGTTTCAAGGAATCAAACTTCTCATATGGAACTGTGAAAGCCCTGGGTTTATACTTGAGGGTGTAACATTGTCATTGCTATTTTGAACATATTTACAAATGTCTGTCATAGGAAAATAAAGATATTCCTGTATGTATTTCCTTCCAGCAATTCTCTGACTTAGTGATGAGATTATTGAATTAAGTCTGTGTAAGGGAATGAGGGAAGTAGATTGCAATAAATGTTTGAAGTTGCAGTGCCTGGGTTGATAATTTGACTTTTTTCTAATACTTTCTAGACTTGTCTACTTAATAAGATCGTTCAGAAATTTAACTTTTAAAAGCAGTATTAAATAATAAAGGCTTAACTTACATGATAATACATGTTGTCTCTTCAGTCTTTAGAATGAAAACTCAGTCTATACACACACACACACTTATATATGAGTACAAAGTTTAAAATTTATGTAGCTTCTTATTGTTAAGTTTATTAAGTGGACTTTTTGATGTATAAGTTTATTTAAAGTGTGAATTTTTATTATTTAAATTTTGTTGTCTTTGTGTTTCAGTATGAAAATCCATGGACAATCCCAAATATGTTGTCAATGACAAGAATTGGCTTGGCCCCAATTTTGGGATATTTGATTATTGAAGAAGATTTTAATGTTGCACTAGGAGTTTTTGCTTTAGCTGGGCTAACCGATTTGGTAAGTTGTAAATGCACGGTTGTTTTGCTCCCTTCCTACATTCCATGCTCTTTACTACTGTCCTGAAATAGCACAGCCTTAGTCAGCTTTTCCTTGGAAGGAAATCCTCAAGATGAATTTGACCTAGTTCTTTATGTAAGGACTTGTCTTTAGCATCTGTGTGGAATATTTTTATATATAGTCTAAGGGGAGGAAGTAAAGGTTTTAGGAAGGAATGACACTTTTTACTGTTGGTTTTAAACTTCTTTATAAAAGGAGTACCCTTAGAAGTTTCCAAGAGCCGAGTGCTTGCTTTAGGATAGAAATAAAGAAGAGAGGTTATGAGATTGTTTTTCTGTTTATTGTGATAGAAATTCTCTGATCTGCAACAAGAGTTAGTTTTCCTAATGGAGAAGAAAACAATTGTTATGGCCTAGGGAGCTAGGATGTGCCCCAAGAGCTTGTAGAGGTCAGAGCTCTTTTCAGCTTTAATGTTAGCATGAGGCTGCAGTTACCTCACAAATTTGGTCCTTGATTCTGCTCCATACCCCTCTGAGTACCCTGCAGAAGACCTTGCTTTTGGAGGAGGCATTTGGGCATCTTTCCTTCTTCCACTGTCCCTGGAGATGGACAAAAGAGAGAAGAGCTCTTTGACACCAGTATGTCAGTTTGGGGGAGGGTAGATTTATTTGAGTCATCTCAAATTAGAACTGGGGAAATAACCTTATAACAGAAGGCTATATTACTTTTGTGGACTGTCATCATCTATGACATTATTTGTAATTATCACCAACCTTGTTTCATAAAAGATTTGAAGTAACTTATAAAACTACACATACTATAAAAACAGTTGAGAGCAGTACAGAAAAGGTAGAGGAAAAATTACAAATCAGGACAAAGTTAGTGTGTGGATGATAACTTCCTGCACAGGGCTGGTTTGAGGTCCATGTGAGTACCTAAATAGGCAATAATAATTTGGTGCCTCTTCAAACCAATTTGCTTTTGAAAAGTTTTGCTTGATATTTATTCAGTGAGAATAGAGAGAAACTAATTTATGATAAATAAAAGTGATAAGCATCTTTCTTTGTAATGTCAACTGTTTCTTTTGAGGTTCATAGAAACAAAATTCTACCTTCCTAGTACTAGTACATTGGTGTGTAGTATAGAATTAGCTGATGGTTTTAAAGGATAAACAAAGGACATTGTTTACATTGTTATATGGTATTTCCAAATATAGCCTCTCAAATTAGCTCTTTTTTTCCATAGTTTAGCTATTTTTTTGTCACCTCCTTGTCCCATTCTTAGAATCTATCTCCCTTTCTTTTATGCCTTCTTTTATTTCTGAAGCCTAAAGGTCTTCACTCATTAGTGTGATCTCTAAGTCTGTCAAAGATTATTACACTGATAATGAAAATTTTTACATATTAGGACAACAACTTTTTCAGTTATTGGATTCACCATTTTTGTTTGCTAGTTTTTTGTTTTGTTTTTTGTTGTTGTTGCTGTTGTTTTTTGAGGGGATATTTAGCTGCCACATGAGATTGCAATATTCACTACAAGGAAGAGAGGCTCCATTAATATTTTTCTGTGTATATGATGTGCATGGAAACCTGAGTTGACTGATATCATATTTCTCGTTTACTCCATGGAAGTTTTGATGGCTTCAGATTGGCCACAAATCAGATGGCCAGACTTCTGTTTTAGTAGGGGTTTGGCAGGTCTAGATTGAATTGTATATAGGAAATGGGCTATAGGAACGTAAGAATAGAAGCCTACCTAGGAAAGAAATGGTGGTAGCTTGGACTGGGATGGGAGTTAGAATTGGAAATGGATGGGTTTGAGATAATATTTTGAAGATAGTGTTGATATGTTGACAAAGTGGATATATGGAGTGAAGGAGGAGTCAAATATGAACACTAGACTGTTACTTTTTAAAAAATTTTCCTCTTTTCAACAGCCAGGTGCGTGGAAGTAACATTTTCTAGAATGAGCAACATTTGGGGTTTAGGGAAAAATAGGAAGAATTCTGATGCCTGTCCATCTAGAGGCATCAGTTGGAAGTCAAATGTAGTGTGGAGTTGTAGGAAGTCATCATTATAGAAATGCAGATTTGGGAGCAGTCAGGTACATTTGGTCAAAATTGGGTGAAATATCTAGGCTGAGGTAAAAGAAGAGAAATGAGAGGTTAGAGAAATGAGCAACAAGTGGAAGAACAGGGAAGTCAGTGAAGGACACTGAGAAAAGAATATTTGGTGAGAAAGGAGGAAAATTAGTATTCCAGAGTAAAGAAAGTGCTACATGCATTGAGGTCAAATAAAAATGCAGAATTCATAGGTGACCTTTGTAAAAGCCATCTCTAGAGGAGTCGGGGGGCCTAGTGGAGTGGGTTGATGACAAATGTGAGATGGTAAGATGTCCTTACAGCACACCCAAATGTTAGGTGGTAACATCTTATCTTACCACCTCACATTTGGGTGTGTTGTAAGGAAGTTTTGCTTTGCAGAGGGATAGAGAATTAGGGTCAAATAAGGGTAGTTTTAAAGATACATGTACAAAGTGGATTTTTTGTTAGCTGATTAATGTGATGGGAAGGAATTGATTGATGATGCAGGGGAGATAGAAAGAAAGGAGATAAATCACAGAAGGTGAGAGGGCTTGGTATAGAGATCAAGGAATACAGTGAGGATAAGTGGATGCATCTTGGAGGTGGGAATATGAGGGAGTACTAAAAATGGCTTTTTTTTCTTTTTTTTTTCCTCAAGGAAGATATAGATATGGATATGGGTTAGAATGAGAGAGTTTAGAAAAAGTGAAGTAGTATGGAAAGAGAAGGTGAATATCATTGGCAGATATAAGATTGTCAGGCGATGTTGAGTGCCACCAGAGGTTTGTGGTCATGAATTTGGAACGAAACCAAATTTTGCTCCAACCATGTATGTATTTATCTTTAACAGTATTGAGCTGCTTGCCTAGAGTCCTGGAATATATGGATGGTTGTTTTGTGGTGGTATCCAGGGAGAATATAGAGTTTACAAAGTTGTAGATGTTTACTAAGGAATGGTGATTGTTGACCTTGAAATCTAGTGTGAATCCAAGTAGTGAGAACAAGAAGGTAGAAGTTAAAGAAAAAGTGGAAGGTTAAGTCTCCTGAGATCAAATAACTAGCTTACAAGTTGGAGCTTATAAGGTCCCAGCTCCCCATTCTAGAGGCTTTCTATTAGACAACATTGCCTTTAGTCTGCTTAATAAGAAAATGGATTGTTTCCATTGAGAAAGTAATAGCTAGTAACTGCTTTTTTTTGTTTTGAGGATTTACTAAGTGCTGAGCACTGAACAAATATTAAATCTCATTATGTGCTGAAGATAACCAAGCCTCTGAGGTAGGTGATATTATGTTTCACAGATGAGGAAACTCAGAGGCCAAATAATTTGCCCAGGGTCACACAGTAAGTGGCAGAGCCAGGACTTGAGCCAGTTCTATTCTGCTATAAAGACCACATTTTTAACCACTGAACTATTGCTAACTCCTTTAACTCATGGAATACTTGAGATATGGAAGACTTTTTAATCCTTTAAAATGTACTGTATTTAATTATATCTATTTTATTTTTCTTAGAAATAGGAATAAAAAATTCAAACATTTGTTGAAGGTTGTTGTTAAATAAAATGAGTAAAAAGCCTAGTAGGAACTGGGATAAACCAGAAAGTGTCTGCTTTGGTTAATATGGGTAGGCAGTATTTGGTTTTGTGGCCCCTGCCTGACAGGTCTTTGTCTCTCAAGTTAGGCTATAGATCTGGATTTTTATGGTAAATATTGGCAATTAGTTACTATTTTTAAAAGCTTTGGCAGATCAAATAAAACCAGGCTTCAGGACCCATTTGACCCACTGGCAACTGGATTTTAGTCTCAGCTTTAAAATATGTTTTCAATAATAAGTAATAAAAATAAGTATTTTAAATATCAGCATTATAACTAGACCAGGTATAGAGGACCAAGCTTTTTTTTCAGATACAGGTAATGCAAAATACAGACAGAATATAGATTTAACAGTGGGACTGAACAAAATAAATTATAAAATTAAAAATAAGTTGTAAGGAATTGAATCATATTATGGAAAAGTAGACAGGAAGATGTTTGGTATCTCACAGGTAGAGAAATTCTCATAAATAAAGGCAGCTGTTTTGGCTGCAGTGAATGTAACCCAGGGATCAAAAGCTCTGTCAGTCATGCTTTCTGTGAGTTTTGTATGGCTTCCTCTAAATTGGTGTCTGGTTTCATTCCACAAAGAGACACTGTGAAATAGTGAGAAATAAGACCCTTGAAGGGGGGAAAAAAGTAATGTAAAGTCTGAAATTATTTTCAGACCAGTTGTTAATTTAAAAGAATGAGAATACTGTTTGTGGGGGTAAAGAAACAGAAGAGATTTTATTAACATTTTATGAAAGTGTAGTTGTGTTTCTGGTATCTCTTAAACTTCAAGATATCTACTCTGTTCCTATCATGACATTTATAAAAAAAACACTTCTATTTTCAGTTGGATGGATTTATTGCTCGAAACTGGGCCAATCAAAAATCAGCTTTGGGAAGTGCTCTTGATCCACTTGCTGATAAAATACTTATCAGTATCTTATATGTTAGCTTGACCTATGCAGATCTTATTCCAGGTAAGAATGCCATCATGCGAACTTTTAAATAGCATAGGGAAGAATGACATTGGTCTTAGGATTTCTCTAGAGAGACATTATTTTTGTTCCAAAAATTGATTTTGCAACTTTAAACTGTTTCCTTAATTTTAAACTGTTGAACTGTTTTGCTAATAAAACTGTTTATTTTAGAATTTACATTCTTGTTATACTAATAAAAGCAGTTGTTTGCTTAGTAAGATTGTTTAAAATTTAAATTAAGCAAATATCTCACAGTGCCAATTCATATTATTTAAAAATGTTTTGGTGCTCTAGTATATATTTTTAGTGCTTAACTTTTTAAAAGTAATTTAAGGTTTTCCTAAGTCTCTGATTATCTTTATAAAGTACAGTTTAATTATAATGAGAACTCTGAAATCCTGAAGGTATCTATAAAATTTCACGCTATGATTATTTAGACAGTATTGTGCAATTTTCAAATCACACATATAGTTTGTATATTATCTTAATATTTTTTCTGACATTTTATGAACTTTTGCTTTGTGTTTTTGCATGTTCATTTTCTACTTGAATTGTACTGTTCCCCCCCGCCCTTGATCCAGATTAAACTGTATTTTTTTCCCCAAGAGTTAGAAATCTAAGAACAGTGAAGCTTCCATATGGCCCTTTAGTGTCACATCACTATTGATATTTCATGGAAAGAAGTATAGTGGCAGTTCAGTCTAGTGTAGTCTCTTCAAGCTCAAAGTTCTTTTTCTCCTTTTCCTCAGTTTTATAAATTATCAAACCAAATTAAAAATAACAGATTAATGTTTATATTTATATGCTGCTTCGAAAGTTAGAAGGTGTGTATGTAATTGGGAGGTTTGAAGAGGGAGGGGGTGCTTTCTCATTCTAATGCATATAAATTTCTAGGGAAAAAAACCTGTAGAGCATTCTGTGGACATTCAAAATTCAGTTGATCTTTTTATTTTTTAATTTTTTTTAGTGTATTTTCATACCTCTCATTTTTCTTTAAGTTACATTGTATTTTGTTATGTTGTTTTATTCAGGTTGGCCATTTCATTTTCCTGTTGAATATTGTTTCCAGGTTTTTGGTATTATGTAATGTTGCTATGAACTTCCCTTAAGTAATTGGAATGGGTTGCTTTCCAAGTTGATTTTCTCTTCACTACCATTCTGTCTGTTTTTCCAGGCCTCTCCTGTCTTCCTTTTTACCAAGTATCCCCTTTGGTGAAGTTCATCCTTCACTTGTTTTCTATAAAAGGATGTAGTTTGGCAGCAAAACTTCTGGCAGTTTTAGACATTTAAAATATCTTTTGTTTACCCTCTATACTTTATTGGCAGTTGAACTGGGCATAATTTTTCAGTTGCAGATCACTTTCATACAGAATTCTGAGGATGTTCTTAAACTTCCAAATTTTATCTTGCTATAGAGAATTTCATGCCATTCTGATACTTTTTCTGTTATATGTGATTGTATTTTATATTATAAATCTTTAAGGATTTATTTTCCTAGTTGATTTTTTAAAAATAATCTAAATCTTATCTAATCATTTTCTTCCACCTATTTGGGTATTCAGTTATCCCAGCACTGTTTGTTCATTAATAAACATGTATTGTCCAAACTCACTGTAATATCCATGTATACCTGGGTCCATTTCTGGGTTTTCTATTTTTTTTTTTCTGTTGATTTGCCTGTCTGCACCACTAACACTTTTCTTGTTGTTTTGCTAAAAGTTCTGATAAGTGATAGAGCAAGTCCTTCTACCTTGGATATTCTTAGACCATTCCATTTGTTTATAAATTTTAGGATTATTTTTCCCAAATCAGTAATTCTATGAGCTGGAGGGGGGCAATCTGTTGATTTTGATTAGAATTGCATTGAATCTATAGATCTATTTGGAAGAATTGACTTTTTTTAAAATGAGAGTAAATCTTTAATCCACTTGGGTCTTTAATGTCTCCGACAGTTTTTTTTACTATTCTCCAGAGAGGTAATAAATTTGTTGATAGGTTTACTCCTAAGTACTTAGTAGTTCTTGATACTTTTATAAATGGTAGCTTTTAAATTTTTATTTTATAATAATTGCTGTTATGATGAAAGTCAGTTCTATTTCTAATGTTGATTTATGTGTAGCAAAACTTAATTAAAATGAATTCTGTTGGACTTTCTACATCTTCTGCTGTGTACTGATTAATAACAATATTTTTCCTTTTCCATTCCTTTCACCTTTTCTTTTACTTACTGCACCACTCATACAAGGAAAAGGAAAAGTGACATCTGTCTTATGAGACAGATGAATCACAGAGAAAGCATTTAACATTTCACTATTGAAGGTTCCTATAGGGATTTTTAGAGTTCCTTTTTTTCAAGTTAGAAAGTTCGTGTCTGGGGCTGGGGATGTGGCTCAAGTGGTAGCACGCTCGTCTGGCATGCGTGCGGCCCGGGTTCAATCCTCAACACCACATACCAACAAAGATGTTGTGTCTGCCAATAACTTAAAATAAATATGTTTTTAAAAAAAAAAAAATAGGAAAGTTCATGTCTGTTGGGAGGTTGTTAAGTTTTAATTACAATTGGATATTGAAGATTCTTTGTGTAAATGTGATGATCAGATCATTTTTCCCTTTTAGCTGTTAATGTGGGATCAAGTACATTATTGATTTTCTAGTGTTAAAACAACCTGAAGGGCTGGGGATGTGGCTCAAGCGGTAATGCACTCGCCTGGCATGCGCAGGGCGCTGGGTTCGATCCTCAGCACCACATAAAAAATAAAAAAAATAAAGATGTTGTGTCCACCAAAAACTAAAAAATAAATATTAAAAAAATTCTCTCTCTCTCTCTTTCTCTCTCTCTCTCAAAAATAAAACAAAACAAAACAAAACAAAAAACTGAAATTGCTGGTTTAAATCCAGTATGGCCGTAGTAAATAATAGAGATATTGTTGGATTTAGTCTGCTATAATTTTGTTGAAGATTTCACATACAGATTCATGAAATTGGTCTGGAATTCTTTTCTCCAAATATTCTGGTTAGGTTTAGTATAAAATTTATAACTAACCTCATAAAACAAGCTAGGGAATTTTTGGTTTTGCTTTTGTTTTCTTTCCATTATTGTGAAATGTTTTTGTGAGATTGTACTTATTTTCTAATTTTAAATGTTTCATATAATTTGTTGAAGCCCGTAAGGCCTAGAGTTTTCTTCAAGGGAGAGTTGAAAGAGGTGATTCGTTTTTCTTCAGTTGTTATAGGATTATTCAGTTTTAATAATTCATCTTTTTAATAGTTTATCTTTTGATCATTTTTAAAATTATGACGTTTTTCCAGAAATTCATCGATTTCATCTGTATTATTAAAATTTTATTATAAGCTATTGACGCTTTTCCTCTCCTTTAATGTTTTTTCTGATCCATCTTGCCAGAGACTTGTCTATTTATGAGTAAACCAACTTTGAGTTTTGTCAAACCTCTCTGATACGTTGTTTACTACTTCATTAAACCTTGCTCTTTTTTTCTGTTTGTTTTCTCTTCTTTGAGTTTTCTTTGCTGTTCTTTCTCAAAATTCTTTAGATTAGTTAGTTCTCTCTAGTAGAAATAAAGTAGGAACCACATATGTAATTAAAAATTTTCTAGTAGCAATGTTAAAAATTAAAAAATAAGAGGAATCAGGTGAAATTAATTTCAGTGAATTATTTTATTTAACCTAGTATATTTTAAACCATGTCATTTCAACATGATTGATAAGAAGTGATTGACTTTTTAAAAAATACTATGCTTTTGAAGTCTGTATTATGTTTTGCATTTATTGTCCCTCCCAGTTCTAACATTTCTGGTACTTACACATGGCTATTCTATTAGAGAGTGCAGCTATAGATGGATATGTATGTAACTCACTTCTTTTTACCTTTTCTAAAGTTTGCATGTAAGACTTTACATTTCCCCCTAAATACACTTTTGTTGCATCTTGTATATTGATATTAGTGTTTTTATTGTCCATTATAGAATATTTTCCTGTTTCTATTATGATTCTCTCCTCTACTTGTATAGTTAATATTAAGTGTTTTTTAATTCATTGTCAATTTGTGGAGATCTTTCTAGCTTTCTTTTCCAGAGAACATGTTCTGTGATTTCAGTCTTTCAATCTAGTGTATAAATTTGTTAAACATTCCACATGTGCTTCAAGTGAATTTATATTCTGCAGTAATTGGGTCTGATATTCTGTATATATCCATTAGATCAAGTTTTCAATCCTGTTAAGTCTTCTATTTTTTTGATACTGGGAATTGAACCCCCTGGGGTGCTTAAACCACTGAGCCATATCCCCAGCCCTTTAATTTTTATTTTGAAACAAGGTCTCACTAAGTTGCTTAGGGCCTCCGCCTCCTGAGCCGCTGGGATTACAGGTGTGCACCACCATGCCCTGGAGTCTTATTTCTTTATTGATTTTTCTTACTCTTTGTTCTGTTTGTTCTGTTAGTTACTGGGAGAATGGTTAACATTTCCTTATGTGTATCTAGTTTTCTGTTGTTTTTCTTTGCAGTTCTGATTTTGCTTTGTATCCTTTGAAATCGTGCTGTTAATATCTTCTTGGTGAATTGAATATTTTAATGGTGACCCACGAGACAATTGCAGGTGGTAAAATAAGTTCATAGGTGATAATCCCTGGGTCACACTGCTGGGTTTCAGCCCAGTGCACTGCCCAGCATAGCCTGAATTCCATAGACATGAATTTTAATTTGCATGAGTTTGCTGCATTTTTAAAAGTATGATTGGTGTTAGAGTTTACCAGCTAATGATTGCTATAGAAAAGTTTGTTCCATAGGTTTAAAAAGGCTTCTAAAAATCATGGTTTGCTGTTTTTTTTAGCTTGGTTAGTATGCCATTACTTGAGTGCATTAGGATTTTCTCCTTGGAATAGTGTTGTAATAGAGGAGTGGGCCAAGGATCAGCACTTACATCATATCTATGACCAATAGAGCTTGAAAGTTTAATTCTGAGCCAGGTGTGGTAGTGCACGCCTATAATCCCAGCAATTTGGGAGACTGAGATAGGAGGATCACAAATTCAAAGCCAGCCTCAGCAACTTAGTGAGGCCTGTGCAACTTAGTGAGACCCTGTCTCAAAATTTAAAAAAAAAAGGGGGCTGGGGATGTGGCTCAATGGTTAAGAGCCTCTGGGTTCAATCCCCAGTATGTACATTTGTACATACATACATTTGTTTAAATCTGCAATTAGTGAGATTTGTTCAAATGGAAGAGCCAAAGCCAAAGACTGGATAGGACCACAAATACAACGTCATGTGCTTCATAAAAGGGTTGTTTGAAACTGTTATGGAAGAGATATATATTATACACACACACACACACACACACACACATATGATTCTTTTATTTCGATAATTGAAACAATTTGAACTGAGTGGACTCAGGATTCTTTTCCCTTAAAAAAATTTTTTTTCTTAGAAAAGATATAGGGTCATGGTTAAAATTTCCTTTAGTGCAGAAGGATATAAAGTGAAGTAAGTGTCTGCCCTCCCATTTCTATTCAACAAAAAGAGTAGGGATGCCTTGGCTATCCATCTAAAATATTCTTTTGGCTCTGGTTATAGGACCATGTTGCAAAATCTGAGGAATACAGCATCTCTGATGACATGTTCAAAAAGTTTTGGATTTTGGAGCATTTCAAATTTTGGATATTTAGATTGGGGATGTAGCTGATAAAGCCCAAGCAAATATTCCAGAATCTAAAAAACTGAAATCTGAATCACTTCTTGTCCTAAGCACTTTGAATAAAGGATACTCAACCTGTATTAAAAATTAAAAAAAAAAAAAAATAGACAAGTTAAATTCCTTCAGTGCTTGTGTGGGGAGAAAAATAATAGTTGCCTGGGTGGAACTTTCTGGACTAGACTAGAATGAAAATATTTTTTGTTTTTCTACAAGTTGTACATATAGCAGGTTTTACTCTTCAGAGAATAGTTTAAAATGCAGAAGCAAGTAATCAAAGCTCCAGATGAGTTTAAGTCCTCCTGCATCCTTCTTAACTTCATTATCATCTCTTTCCATTTAATTCTAGTGGGCATGGCAATTTTTTTTTCCTGAATTCACAAAGCTGAGAAAAGATTGGGGGGAGGAGGGGCTGAGTAAAGCTGTCACTGATATCTGCAAACTTACAGCTTATAAACATATGAAGGAAAAAACAAAAAGAGGCAAGAGGACTGACATTCTGAAAGCCAGATGGAGACTTTGAAAATCTTGTTTGCATTTCACTTTTGTTAAAAAATGAATCTAAAGATCATCAATGAGTGTTTATCATGAAATTTTTACTTATAGAAAACATCAGCTCATGGTCAAGCTGAATTTTTACTTATAGAAAACATCAGCTCATGGTAGTCATATTAGTAATTTGCAAAGTCCTTGTTAAAATTATTTTTTATTTAATTTTCAGTTCCACTTACTTATATGATAATTTCAAGAGATGTAATGTTGATTGCTGCTGTTTTTTATGTCAGATATCGAACTCTTCCAACACCGGTGAGTATTTTTCCAAAAATTATTCTTTTAGCATTATTTATGACTTTAGGCAAAAGTCAAGATTCATTGTATTATATGCTGTTTTGCTTTGTGAGAATAATTTGTAGCAGTATTTTTTATTCATTTACCATAGACTTTTAAAAAATTAACTGTGCTATTTAGATCACACTAAAATATTTATTTATGGAACTCATGAATGGCCCATTTTAAAAAGGCACATTTCTGTTTAAGTCCAACTCTTTTTCAGTCACTGGTACATGAAATCTTGCACAGCTGGTCCCCATCCTTACTTAACAAACTGTTAAGAGGAATTTTACATGACCCTAAGCCATATTGTTGTCTTATTTATTAGCCTTTACTGTGGATTATTTAGAACTGGTTTCTAAGATCACAGTTGTACAAATATGGGATGATTTGCTTACATACTTGGTCATTGATGATGTAAATATCTGAGCACGTAAGCATAGCATAATAACCTTTTTTTGATTGCCAGTCCAGTGAAAATAAAACAGTATTTTATTCATTTTGTTTTTTAAGAAAATAGTGATAAGAGAATGTCATTAGTTTATTTACCAAAAGATGTGACTTAGGATTTTATAGGATTTGAGAAATAAATTTGTAATATTTAAAGAATTGATTTCTTTCAAGAGCCTGTGCATGATTTGTAAGGAATGTAGATGCTCTTATTTAACATAATTAGAAGAATGCATATAAGAGCCAGGCGTATGCTAAGTATTCAGTAACTGTTATCTACATATAAAAAATGTTTTAAACTTGAACAATAAATTGAAACTTTATCTTTTTTTTGTCCTCTGCCAGCGAACACTAGCTAAGTATTTCAATCCTTGTTATGCTACTGCTAGATTAAAACCAACGTTCATCAGCAAGGTAAGAGACACACAAAATCCTTTTTAAGTTATTCCTTTGTGAATTTTTACATTACAAACCTCAAGAGCAACTGAAGCTGGATCAAATTAAACACACTGAGTAAAGGGGATAGAAAAAGGGGTCAGGTAGACAGTTATAACACAATTCTTTTGTCCTCCAAGCTTTTTGGGTTCTTATATTACATTTTGCCTCATGTTGGTGGTCTGAGTTTAAGCTTAAAGAGTCACCACAAAGTGGAAAGGGATAGGAAAAAAGTTTCATTTTTTTTAAAACTGTTACTCTTAGTTATCCCTTTTGTTTTCCTTCTTTTTCAAGGTAATAACTGTACACCTGTCTTTGCACACAATATTATGAAGCCATATATACACACACACATACACACACACACACACACTTTTTTTTTTCTTTTTCTGATAGCCTTAATTTGCTCAAATCTTTCCTGTTTCATCCCTTAGGAAAGATTTATTAGGTTAGGAAAGCTGATCAGCTTCAAGGCAGACGAGCCATTGCTTTTGTTAAAGACTTATGGGGTGGACTTTTACCTACATACATAGGAGCTTTTTTGGCTTTGAGTGACTTGTATTTATGTCAAATATAGCAATTGGAGTGTAGTACTACATAGAAAATGGCTTAGGAGGTGCTGGGACAAATTGCATCAAAACAATTTGTTCTTTAAGGAGTCTTCCAAATAGAATTTATCATTTATTTTTTAAACGAAATGGAATCCTTATCATTTGGCTATGGAATGATTGCTAGAACTGAAGTGCTTCTCTGCACACATCACCCACTGCTTTATAATCACAGACTCTTTCATAAAACACTTCTCATCATAATAAGTGGATGGTGTCTTCAGACTATTTCTTGTTTTGTTTCCTTTTTCCCCACTGCTATATTTCTGTTTTCTAGCCTCATATGATCTGATAGGCAAATTAAAGGAACACTGGATAGGCAGTGGGGAATCTGGATTACAGGTTTGATTCTTCTGTGACTGCAGGCAAATCACCTAATTCATGTCCTCTCAGTTAGGAAGAGGCAGCTTGATTATTTCCATATTCACAGCACTGCTTTAATTGGCAGCTGGTAAAAAGGGAATGAGTTTTACAACATTATGGATTGCTGTGGAAATTCAAGGTGGTAGTATTTTTCTGATAGTCATTACCCTCACTATAATAGGCAGCTATGGAGACAGATGGGTGAATGAAGCTGACCCTTTTATGTGTTCTCACTTGTGAATGCCAACTTCTTTGGCATGGATATTGCAGGCCATCTTTAAGCCTGCTGAGTGTATGTCATGATGGACTATGCTTGAATCAGGATCCACTCACACAATAACTTTTTTTTTTTTTTTTTTTTTTTTAGGTAAACACAGCAGTTCAGTTAATCTTGGTTGCAGCTTCTTTGGCAGCTCCAGTTTTCAATTATGGTGATAGCATTTACCTTCGGATGCTTTGGTAAGCTAACTTTAGCATTGCTTTTGGAGAATGTCAACACAGTAGCTTACTTTGACAATCCTAGAATGACTTTATGTTTAATGGACACCTAACTGGAGAAAGTGGAGACCATATTTTATGATTAATAATCATTTTTAAGAAGCTTACTCTCAAGAATTGGGGTATAAAAGCTAGTTTTCATGAATTAAAAGGAATGAGGGGTACTGCTAATGCATTAGGGTTTGAGCAGAGGAAAGATTTTTTCAGGTAAGAGGAAGAGGGAGGTTAGCTTCAGGGAGAAAGTAGCATTGAGCCACGAGATAGAGGTAGATTTTGTATAGGGCAGCCATCAGGTGGAGGACAGATCCTCAACAAGGTCAGTTTAAGAGAGCAGTAGACAGGGAAAAGGAGTCCAACCTAGGGAAAAGGTATAGTGAGAGGGACCCCTGGAGAAAGGAGTTTGAATCTTACGTTAATTGTTTATTTATATAGTCTTGAAAATTCAAACTTTAGGAATTCAAAATGTGACACAAATTTTTGGTCCATTTTTACCAATAATTAAAACTGTCTTGCTTGTTGCAATCTGAGCCAGAAAGTGTTGGTTAATCAGAGAGTTAAACCAAAGAATCTTTTTAAATGATGCATACTCTAATTTTTTTAAATTTTAATTTAAAAAACTTACTCTGGTTCATTTTATGTGTTACTATATAAAATGAAAGCTTTTTCGGGGCTGGGGTAGTTGCTCAGACGTAGAGCGCTCACCTGGCATGCGTGAGGCACTGGGTTCGATCTTCACCACATTTAAAAAAAAAATGATAAAAGATATTGTGTCAACCTATAACTAAAAAATAAATATTTAAAAAAATGAAGGCTTTTTCTTTGGATATAGGCCCATCAGTGGGAGTTTTCTCTCTTGAATAAACCACAATACAGCCTCTCTGATTTCCATATTTTGTTTCTTTCAGGTGATGTAAGAACTTTATGATTGTTGATTTGTCTTTTGTTTTGGGGTTTTTTTTTTTTGTAGTGCTGGGGATTGAACCTGGACCTTACATATGCTAGGCAAGAGCTCTAGCACTGAGCTACACCCATCCTTACACAAGAACTGCAAAGCAATCTAAGTGTAGGATACATCTAAATGTTTATCATATTTTTCCAGGTTTTTTTTCACAGCCATCTTATATTTATTTTGAATAGTATTTTTTAAATCAACTTGGCTTTTGATTTTCTAAAGCATCCATTCTAGTTCTCAGTAGCAATTCTTCGTACATTTGTATTTCATTGTTTATATATGAATTTAGAATACCAAACTGACATGAACACAGATCTGGGATCGAACAAAAATGAGTCTTAATGATTGTACATCACCTGGTGGAAACATAATCAAGTGGGTACCCTGGGAAGTAACCTGTTAATTGGCTCGTGTTCCTCATGCCAAGGGCATCCCTCATGTCATCCCAAGGGGAATTTGATTAACCTGGCAGTTCACTTAAGGAAAAGTAAATAAAGTTGAATTTTATTTAAATGATGCAGATATCCTTAGACTTTTAAAAAACTGTATTAAAAAAATAGAATCTAATATTCTAAGCATCATGGAACAGTGGAAAGAGTACATGGGCTTTTGAGTTGAAACCAAGCCAGGTGCCTGCTTAATTCTGTCATATCCCTGAGCAAGTTCTCTTGTCCTCATTTCTCATCTGTAGGTAGAACTTATTGTGAGAATAAAATAGAAACATGAGACATCTAGAATAATATCTGCCTAAAAATGATAGTTGCTGTCCTGGGGTCATGACTTAGTGGCAGAGTGCTTGCCTAGCACGGGTAAGGTTTGGCACCATATAAAAATAAAGTAAAGGTATTGTGCCCATCTACAACTAAAAATATTTTTAAAAAAATGACAGTTGCTAATATTATCGTTAACTTTTAGGGCTTATTAACTAGATTAATTTGTTTGACATTAGTAATTCAAATGAGGTCTTAAAAATGCTATATAGATTTTTATAATTTAAAAAAATTATGACAGTCTTTTTGTTTTTTAAATAGATCTTTTACATGAATTCTTTATGATTATCTGGTTATTGTTTTTTAGATTTGGTGACTCAATCTTTCTTTCCTTCCATAAAAGGTATTTTACAGCTTTCACCACAGCTGCATCAGCTTACAGTTATTATCATTATGGTCGGAAAACTGTTCAGGTGATAAAAGGCAGATGAGAGTCACCCATCACCATTAGCAAGGAAGCAATACACATCATCCGTGGCAATGCCAGCGAAAATCTACAGGAGTTTCCCTATTTTGGTGTTCAGCTTGTAAAAGGACTTGTCAGAACAAACCATGTCATCAAAATTGAAGTAATGTGCATTGAAAATAAGCTTGATCATGGGCATATGCAGAATTTCCAATGTATTTTTAAGTATAAATAAAACTATAATTTAGAATTTTTAATCTTAGGTTTCTTGAATATAAAGAGATGAATTATTCCAATTATTGTCAGTCCTTTTTTATGTTTTTTAAAAATATAGTTCAGAGCATGGAAACTGAAGTGTTGACACCTGTCTCTAGAATCTAAGTTGCTCATGAAGCCATAGGGACTTGCCTGGGATTAAATATATATCTTATATAACTTGGCTATTCATTTTTATGTTTGATTTTTAGATTCATGTATACATTAACAGTTCATGTGGTTATTATTTGGTCATTTAGGGTAGTGAGAATAAAGCAAAATTGTAAAGAGATAAGTGTGGTAAGTTTTAAAAATAAATAAGATCAAACAAAATAGAAGGTATTGAAGCTCATCTCATGTTCAGTAGTCTTCCAGCCTCTCAGGTGCCTAATAGTTCATATATCAGGATATAACAAGTAACAAAGATAGTTGAAATATGAGAACTTGTCCATTAGTCTTTCATCTAAAAGCAGTGAGTTACATCATGCCTTCCAACTGTGTTTCTAACATTACAATATTTGTATGATATTGGAACCTGTACTCATATATTGTGTAAATAATATGAAACTGTATATTTTTCAAAGATTTTTTTAAACTTTGGGAAATCTTCTTTTGTTAAGATGTTAAAGGAATAAAAGCTGGAAAAAAAATAAAACTGTACCTTCAACTTGGGTTGTTCATGGTGTGTATTCATCCTCTCCCATTATGTAAGTTTTCTGATTCATGAAGTCCATTTTCAGTTGTACTTAATTGTAAAAGTCATTGATTTGGGACCATCTAATATAAAAGACCTTATTGCTACACTATCATGTTGAAGAGAGTGGGGAGTACAAGTCGGGGAGGAGAAGACTAGCTGGTGCTGGTTGGTTCCTATTAATAGTGGAGGTCTGTTGCTGCCCATTGTTCCTGGTTTTAACCCAAGTATAACATGAGATCATACTGTGAGATTATCCAGTCCACAGCCTGTTGATCTGCTTTAAGTTAAAATGGGAAGTTAGAAGTAAAGCTTGTGCCTTTTTAGCATTGTGCCTCAGTGTGCCCCCTCTTGCTGGTCCTGGCTTTCCTGTTGTCATATAAGCAGCTTAACCACTCTAGGCTTGGAGCTTTCTGAAGCCTGCAGTCAGAAACACTACCACCACTGGATCTTACATGGAGGCAGGTAAGAAGGAAAAGAAGATTGGCGTGGAGCTGGCTGTTCGCCCTCTCATAGGCTGGAGGTGGGAATCCCACTGACAAGACCATCCAAGAAGTACGCAGAGGGCATCTCAGCACTAGCCAGGTGTGAGCACAGAAAAATATATATTTTTTTAAAAAGGAGACTTGTAGTTATGGGGAAATTTAGGATTTCATGCATTGTTAACACTTATTTACATTTTAGTGTTGCTATTTGGGGTGACATGAGTTGGATCCATAATCATGTTGAGATTAAGATCAATCTGGCTCTGTTCTATATACTTTTTCCACATCTACCATTAGAAAAAATGGTCCAAGTCTCCTCAGATTCTTGGAGCCTGGATTGTTATAAATTCTGCCATTTTATAAAACATTGCAATTGTAGTAAATTAGGCATATTCAAGTACTTGTGCATATAGACTCAAAATACACAAAGTTGAAGTCTTCACCGAATAGACAATATTAGTAAAAACATTGGGATCGTTTAATTACATGTCAAGATTTTACATTAATTTGTCACATTTTTGGCTTTTTTTGCAGTTTTGAAGTAGGAGCTGGGAGACATCTTTTAAATCAGTCTAATTCTCTTGGTTGCATATGTGATGAAGTTAGAGATACACAAGAATTTCAGGAAACTCAAAATTTCAAACACCTAGAAATATATAGTGTTCAGTTATTCAGTTCAAAATTTGATATGCTTTAGCTTCTGCAGAATGTTTTGGGAACGAAATATATAGGATTCAAATGGCTTTTTCTTAGAAAAGAAAAAAATTGCTGTTATGGAGTAAATCATGCCCCCCAGAAGATATGGTCAAGTCCTTAAGAGTACCTGTGAATTGACCTTGTTTGGAAATAGGGTCTTTGCAGATTTAATCAGGTCAGCATGAGGTCATACTGGATTACAGTGGGCCTTAATAAATGACTAATGTCTACAGGAAAAGGGAAATTTGGACACGATGTCATGAGATGATGGAAATAATATCTTACAAGCTAAGGAGCACCAAGGATTGCCACCAACCATCAGAAGTGAAGGGAAAAAGAAGCAAAGGTTCCATCAGAACCTTCAAGAGGAGGAACCAACCCTGCTAACTTGATTTGGGGTTTCTGGTCTGAACTATAAAAAGTAAATTTCTGCTGTTTTGAGCCATTTAGTTTCTGGTAATATGGCAGCCACAGAAGATTAATGCTAATATAGAATGTCAAAATCTAGAAATAAAGGCCCCAGTTATAATTTCATAGAATCACTTTCCCCCCCTAAGTTTGTCATAAATGAAAGAGTAGATGCATCCTACACAAAGACACAAATCATAAGACATTGATATAATTGAGAGATGCTTTGGCTTCTGGCCAGAGCTTAGAGGTTCTCTTTTGCCCATTTCTTTTCTAGATCTAAACAAAGTTTGTAAAAGTAAGCTTATTCTTCCTTAAATAGGAATTTATAGTAACGTTGTCCACTTAGACTTGGGTGAAATGCAGTAAGTGCTGACTTTTAAGCTAAGAGCCTTTTCCTGCATTTCAGAGATGTTCCCAGAAGACCAGTTTTAACTGTAAGGCAGTAAGGACATTTTTTTGCAATGCAACTAATAAACCCAGAAGGCCTTCAGGAAACCACAGTAGCTCTTTTCCCTGGCTGCCAGTTCTCAGATTAAGAATCCACTGGAGTTGAGTCCTTGAATAATACAGCTCATTAATTGTGCCTTGGCCAAAGGTTGACCGTAAGGGGACTTTGGCTAAGAAGACCCAAGGAAGTCATTTCCCATATGACAGAAGACATTGGTTTATGTAATTTCTGTTTTTCTCTCTTCCAACTTCCATATATTATTCTACTGGATACTGAGGAACACGTAACTGCTGAAAACCCAATGAGACCACACAAAAGAATGGCAGGTGCCAATGAGAGTGTTCTGACATTTACCAGGTTTCTGAGCAAAGTAGAAGGAAGGGAAAGCAGTTGTTCTTTGAGCTAAAAAACAGTATGGCAAGTTCCCTGTGTGCCCCGGGCATGCTGGCTTCATGGAATTGGAGCCCACTGGGCCACTGTTCTGTTGTCTGTTGAGAGCCACAGCCTGAGGGGCCCCAGCAAACTTCCAGCTGCCAGCTGATGATTGGCTCACAGCAGCCCCAGCAACATCTAGCTGATTGGCTCCTCGGCCCCAGCAACATCTAGCTGATTGGCTCCTCTGCGGTGATGCTCATTGGACTGTTTCCCTGCCCTTTCAGACCACGGAGCTGCTCATTGGGGGACTTTTTTGGCTCCGCCCACGTGACCCAGCCAATCGGCCTCAAGAGCAGGAGGATTGTGGGAGGTGGAGAGAAGCTTGTGTGGGAGAGAGAGGCTTGTGGAAAGCCGGTGGTGGCAGTTGAGGCTCTGAGGGTTTTTCCTGAGAGGCTATTTTGTTTGGCGTGTGTGGTTCTAAAAATAAAGTTAGCTTCTTTTGACAAGTGGCTCCTGATTGTGCCCAGCCAGACTGCGGCAGTTGTCCTTTGTTTAGTCCTCTGTATTTTCTTCTGCACATAGATGGAGTTTGATTAGAAGGAAGCTGGGCTAATTGAGGATCTGGAGCTCCAGCAGATAACCAAAGGCTGGTTGTTTGGTTTTGGTAATGGGGATCGAACTCAGGGCCTGGTACACACGAGGCAAGTGCTCTATCACTGAGCTACGCTTTCAGCCATCACTGGGTTTTTGAAGGCCACCAAGTGTGTATCGTAGCACTGCCTGTGTGACGTCCAACCCCGCCTGCAGAGACACACAGACAGCACTAGCGTGCTGATAAGCAGAAGACTGCTGGTTGCACACAGTCCTGCCAAGATGCCCAAGTAGCTGGGCTTGGTGGTGAAGTTGGTGCATGCCCTCCTCCAGCCTGAGGCCCGAGGCAGGCTCAGGCCAGCCCTGTTGGCTGCCAGCACACACACGCCGTATGTGGTGCCAGGCGAGAGCCCATACAAAGGGTGCTGACGGGCGGTGGCATAGATGTTCTCTACCACTGTCTGGTTCTCTGCCTTGCCCTCTGCGAAGTAGCGGATCTGGTACCTATGCACCACTGAGTTGGGGGCACACCAGAGGATGAGTGCTGATGTGTCTGTCATTTCTGACACCCCCTGCAGTCTGGGGGGGTCTGGAATAGTGTCTTCCCGGCTGAGGCCAGGGCAGCTGCACCCTGAGTGCCTCTGCAGTTCGGCGCATGGGGTCTGCAAGTGCTTGCATGGATGGTAATCACAAGGGACATACTGTTCAGGTGCTCTCACCTCTTCCTTGGTCCCTTCCTCTTCACCATAGTCATCCAACAAGACGACTGGAATCCCACCCTCCGAAGGACTTGGCTGGGGAACCTGGGGGGTGGCCTGTGACCTCTGATCAGTCTGAGATGTGTGCACGGGGTTCCTTGAGGTGGGGAAGGGACCACGGTGTTTGCTGGCCTGTGGGGTGGAGGCAGCTGAGACATCAGTTTCAAGGACAATCCTGGTGGTATGTTTTCCTCCATGATTTGTCCCAGCTATGCTGGCAGCATTGGGTGGAACACTGAAGTTATAGTAACTTGCCGTGGAGTTGACACTGGACTGGGCAGTCCCCTCCCCAGCATCACCATGAGTCCATGCAGCTTGTGAGAGGGAAACCGCAGGGTGGGAGGGGGTGTTGGTGACGCTCTGTTGGCCGCCTGCAGGCTGGGTGGAGGGACCCTGTGTAGATGGTGTATAGCCTGAGTGGTCAAAGGAGGGTGGGTCTGAAGCCAGGACGGTGGTCCTGTGGTCTGACCTGCACAGATCAGGCAGCTGGGAGAGCAGAAGAGGAACCGAGAAGGGACCTCCAGATCCAGCAGCTGGTATGCACATAGTGTCTTTGGCCCTAGAGAGGAAGCCAACCAATTAGAAGATGCCTGGCTCTGAGGCTGCATGTGAGCTGGGTGTCAAATCCTCAGAGCATTTGTCCCGTCCTGCCAAGGCTTGTCAACATGTCTCTTGCCAACACGTCTAACTTGGCATGTGCTTCTCACACATGGCCTCACTGAACCTCAATATATCTATTCAGAAGGCTCCTATCACCACTTCCATTGGGCAGAGAGGGAAGCTGATTTTCATAAAGAAGAACCAACTGCCCAAAATACCATGGCTAGTCAATGGCAGAACCTAACCTGGGGCAAGCACTCTGAGCATCCCAACTCTCTAAGGATAGTTGGCCATTTTGTTCTCACCTGTCCACTTCCTGGCAGTGAGTACTCATGATAATATTCACACACTTGATAACATTTCTGAGTGCTGCCATGTGCTGGATTCTATCCTTCACACTTTAAACTAATTTAGTCTATGCTATCTTATGAGGTAGGCACCATTATACCCATTTTCTAGTTAAGGCAGTAGAGGTACAGAGAGATTAAGTGACCACCAAATCAATAGTAGGAGGTGGTAGGAAGTCACACTCTAGCTCCAGCCTGAACTCTCAACTCCTTCATCAATACCATAGCAAGAAACCCTGGATGGCAGAGGGCCTGGGCACCTATGTTGGGAAGCAACCTGGGGAACAGGAGTACAGATTATGTCTCACATTGCAGCTGCGCTTGGGTGGGAGGTAGAAAAGAATCCTGCAGATGGGAGGATTGTTTCCCAAATAGGAGCAGTTGGCTGGTGGAGCTGGTTGGAGAGTACTCATCATGGGGGATATTTCTAGTGCCCCAGTCCCCATCTTCTCCTGGCACCAGCCTGGGTGTGGCTCCCTCACTGCAAAAACAGCTCTTCCAGCCAAAACTTGCATAAGAATTCTTTTTTTGCTGTCCTGCAAGACAGCTCTGAAAGCCTACAGGCCTTGAGTTAAATGGCCCAGGAGCAGGAAGCCAGACTCCATCTTGGAGATTCAGCAGGGTCTGGTGGTTGAGAGTCAAGTTTTGGAGGAAGATAGAACCTGACTTCTCCATCCAGTGGCTGCATGAATTTAAGCAAGTACCTCATCTGTTTGGGTCCCATTTCCCTCGTCTGTAAAATGGGACAAAAATACATACACTTGCTGTAGCAGAGACAAGCTAGCTGTTCCCCTGACTCACCTCCTTTTCCCACTGGGCACATGGCTAGACGACAAATCCCAACTTTCCTTGCAGTTAGATGTGGCCTGTTGACTGAGATTTTGAGCAGAAGCGAGGTCACCACCTACCCAGCCTGACCCATATAAAATCTCCCAAGGCAGCTCCTCCATGTTCTTTGCCCCTTCTGGCTGGCAGGAAAGGGGACAGAGCCTCCACCACCCTGGTGTAACTAAATGGAGGAGGGGATGCTCTGTGCAAAGCTGCTCAAAGGCCCAGCATCATCACATGAGCAAAGATGCACGCTGAGACAGCTTTCCCTCCTGAAGGCGAAGTAACCTCAGTCATCTTGTTTTGTAAGTGTGTTACCTGCTTAGGATAGTTCTCTTTGCATCCACAAGGAGCCAGGACAGCTCACAGCTGCAAGTGAGAGGGTTGCCGAAGAGGTTGATGGATAGAACCTGGGAGGAATTCATGGTCCAAGGAGGGAAGGAACTCAAGTTGCAACTGAATAACACACACACAAACACACACACACACATATATATACATACACAAAAAAAGAAAAAAATCAATTAACTCAGGCTTTTACAGACACTTTAAAAAAGTTCCCCAGAGAGCTGGGTGTGGTAGCTCATGCCTGTAATCCCAGTGGCTTGGGAGGCTGAGGCAGGAGGAAAACAAGTTCAAAACCATTTTCAACAAAAGCAAGGCACTAAGAAACTCAGTGAGACCCTGTGTCTAAATAAAATACAAAATAGGGCTGGGGATGTGGCTCAGAGGTCGAGTACCCCTCAGTTCAATTCCTGGTACCAAAAAAATGTTTCCCAGAAAGGCATGGTGGTGTTATAGAAAAATCATTCTGTTAGGGGTTAGAGGATATTGCTTTGGATAAAACATTCGATGATTTTGAACCTCATTTTTTGCCAACCTAATGGAGTCAATATCATTTCTCATATAAAATAAGGATAACACTTTCATGCCAATAGGTCATATCATGATGAAGGTATTTATGAATGAAAATCTCTATACATAAATAGATATTTTTATTATAGACCAGTGACAATAATTGGTAGATTATTTTTTTTCTTTGCAGTGCTGGGCATCAAATCTAGGACCTCTCACATGCTAGGCAATTGCTCTACCACTGAGCTATACCCCCAGCCCAAATTTCTTAATGAGAACTTTATTAATGGATGCAACTGCAGCTGTAGCATAGGTGATGGCACACGACACCAGTCCTAGGAAAGATGCCTCACTTAAGTATATCAGTTAGCTCTGGCTAAGTAGAGAACTGTGCCCCAAAACTTAATAGCTTGATCCAATAAATATTTTCTTTCTTTCACATGATTCTGAGGGTTTGCTTGGTGCTTCTTGTAGTCCAGGCCAGCTCGGCTGAGGCCATAGGATCTTGGATGTTCCCACATGTATGTGGCCTCAACAGTGTGTGCTAGGACCTTTCTCCTTGCATCTCATCACTCAGGAGGTCAGCCTAGACTTTTACATGGTAAAAGACTTTTACATGGGTCCCCAAAACAAGAGAGGGCCAGCCTGTGTTCAACTGTGTTCTAGTTTATGCTTACATCACATTTGCTAATATCCCATTGGCTTAAGCAAATCACAGAGCCAAACCCAACTTCAAGCAGTGAAGAAATAGACACCACTTTTTTTGGGGGCACGCCGACAGGGGTGAGAGGAATTACCATGGTCATTTTTTGCAAATAGTATTAGCAACAGCAATCCATTCTTGGTTCTCCTTCCTTTATTCCCTAGAGTCCCCACAGAGTATTTGGCCTCAACTCCTTCCTCTCCAAGTCTCCTGGCCCTCATAGATTTTGCATCCTTTACATGGATTCAGTTAGAATTCATCATTAACATGAGCTGGGCTTTTCCTGAAAGCCCCGTCTTATCAAAGGATGCCTTTCTTCCATTTATCTGGGAACCTGCCTCCTCTTACTAGTACTCTGGGGCAGATGCTAATGTTCTGGGTAAGGAATGACATACCACCCAGATCTGCTCTATCACTTCTGGCCACCAGGAAGGTGAAAGGCATCACCTCTGGAATGCCAGCTATAAGTGTGTGCCATTTATATTGAAACTTAAACCATGCCCACATAAACAAGCTTGGATTCACCTTCATACCTATTCTTCCCAATCCAGTCTGATGAATTGTTATTTCCATCTACTTTATAACACAGCACATGGCATGTGCTTCTGCTATTGGTCACATATTGAACTGTGAGCTCCTTGAAAACAGGGGCCATCACCACCATCACCATCACCGCCATCATCATCGCTATTTCTATAAGACACCCACTATATGCCAGAAATTAAGTGTTCTACACATGAAAAGCCCCAAGGTAAAATACTATTGTCATATCTCTGTTTTACAGAAAAAGAAACTTTATGTTGTTGATATTCTGGCACATTACACAGTTCTTGGATTTTTATCAAGTTCAAAAAAAGAGTTAGAGCCAGACACATACAGTGTTTTCCCTCATAATGTTGTGTGCTCAATGAATGAAGGAAAGAAGGAGTGAACGGCTCTGTCTTTGAATAACTATTCAGCCTTTTAGTCCATCTCTAGTGACTTTGTTGGGTAAGACAGAACTAACAAGACCCACTTCTAAACTTCCCAGGGATTTTTGTCAATAATACATCCAGTGATATTTGCAGAATTCTTTGGTATTTTTTATAACAGTATCTACTGGACTCTGGAAGGCAGGTGGGGAGGTATTATTATTCTTCTTTTACTTAAAAATACCAGGCTGTGCCAGGTGTAGTGGCACATACTTATAATCCTAGTGGCTTGGGAGGCTGAGGTGGGAGGACTCCAAGTTCAAAGCCAGCCTCAGAAATTTAGCAAGACTCTGTCTCAAAATAAAAAGGACTGGGGATGTGGCTCAGTGGCAAAGTGCCCTGGCTTCCATCCCTAGTACCCAAAACAAACAAACAATCAAAAATGTCATCCAAATCAGTGGTTGCTCTTGGGCACCAAAGTGGGACACACTGGACATCCACCATGCCAGAGGGCACCAACTCCAGATCTTAGCTGCAAGACCTTCCCTCCCAGACCTGCTCAAACCCTGCAAGGGACTGAACTTGTATGATGTGTGGGAAAGGAGGTGGATCCAGTAGAGAAAACATCCAGCCTGATGTTTTCACCCCCTCTTCCTACTGCACATTTCTCAGCTGGACTGAAAAGAAACTTGTATATCTAAGAGTTTGGATCTTTAATATGACTATGAACTGGACTGAATTGCTGGTTATTAGGCTGGGTGGATCATCTGAGACCTGTCCCAATTGCCCCAAAGGATGAGGAAGAATAAAACCCCAGAGAAGATTTGGAAGAGCAGGGAGAGAAAGATTAAGATCCAGTTTGTTCTATAAAATTCAACACAATATAATAGAACAAAAATCAATTCTGTGATTAAGATGTGTCTTAGAAACACTTACTTCTGGAACAGAAGGACCTGTAGACAAGGAGTGTCTTGAAAGATGTGTGTGTGGACGGAAGTAAGTGCTGGGGAGGCCTGACAATCCAGATGCTGGAGGTTAGGGGTCATCTTGAAAATGTCTCCCTCCAGGATCCTCAGCCTGGGCATCTTCCTCAGGTAAAGGGACGTGAGCTTCGGCAGGTCTCTGATCCACCCAGTTTCAACTGAAACACAGAGGGGACACTGTCCTTTACCCCAAAAGACACAAATTCAGGTCAGCCCATCATTAAGGAAACAACAAAGTGACAAGAGGAGTCACAAGCATGGGTGCAGTTATTGATTTGGGGAATCTCAGAAGAATGGCCATTTTAGCTGAAAGGGCCCTCAGGGATGACCAGTCCTTCCTGTCTTCTAGCCAAAGTTGTCTAGGAGAACTGTTGGCCCAAAGCCATACAGCTGAGAAGGGACAGAGTAAGACTGGTACCCAGGACATTCCAAGCCCACTGCTGCCTCACCTGATTAAACTCCGCACACAAAATAACCAGACTTCACTGCGATGGCTCCCAGGAGTGAGGAACCTTTGAGGCATGTAAGTAAGGAGAGGGGATCAGCCCAGAGTAGAACCAGAAGCCAATTTTTGTGGCTTTCCCAATAAATGGAGAATGTGCTTCTTCTCCTCTGTATTTTCCATTCTTGTTTTTTTCTTGTTTCTTTGTCCCTGACAGACAGGTGGTTATAGACACATGAAGTTTTTTTTTTTTTTTTTTTTTTTTTTAAAGAAAAAAAAAAAAGCAATAAAACCAACCTTGCAAATCAAAGTAAGAACACCAAGCACAAGAGAACCATTTTCCTCACCTCCTGCCTGGGTCCTGTTCAAATGATTCAACATTCACGGAAACAATGTTATCCAAGGGAGTAGAAAAATCAATGAATTAATCTTGAGATCATCAGTTACTTCACATTAACTGCACGTTTGGTGCCAAGTTCATACATCAATGAACCCCAAAAGTGACCATTAACGTGTCCATTCCACAAGCATTCATCTAACCATACTGGGAAGCAATACAAAACTGACCATGCCGGGCAGGATGGCGCACGTTTGTAATCCCAGCAGCTCGGGAGGCTGAGGCAGGAGGATCACGAGTTCAAAGCCAGCCTCAGCAACTTAGCAAGGAATTAAGCAACTCAGTGAGACCTTGTCTCTAAAAAAAAAAAAAAAAAAAAAAAAAAGTATTTTAAAAAGGACTGGGGATGTGGGTTAGTCGCTAAGCGCCCTGGGTACATCGGTACCAAAAAAAAAAAAAAAAGTGACTACGCTTTGGGCTCTGGACCCAGGATGGCTGGATGGATGATGGACTCCGATTTGGGAGCACCAAGCATTAAATGACCTGTGCCATTCCACCTTCCTGTGACTTGGTAACCTCCTACTTAAAATGGAGATTGTAAAGTTCCCACTGCTGGGGAAATGTAGCTGGTGTTATTGTTGACCACTACTGTGAACTTAAACACTCGGGTCACGCCTAGAGGAACCCTTCCTGTCCCGGGCAGCGTGTGCATAGCCGGGTTCTGTGCTCCCAGCCTCACCTCGCTCTAGGTATGTGCTGCTGAGATCCAGGGTTTCGAGCGCGGCCAGAGGCTCGCCATCCGCCCCAGCGAACGCTCCGTCGGTGATGCCACCCTGGAATCCGAGGCCCAGAGCGGAGGCCGAGAGGTTGAGGAGCTGTAGCGCGGGGAAGCAGGCGAAGGCCCGAGGCTGCAGCGCCTGCACTGGGTTCCCGGCAAGGATCAGCACGCGGAGGTTGCTTAGCGCAGACCCCGCGCAGGGAGGCAGGGCGGCCAGTTGATTGTAGCTAAGGTCCAGCGTGTGCAGCCCCCCTGGGCCGCCTGGGCTCCAGCGCACCGCTGCGATGCGGTTGTGGCGCAGCGTCAGCACCTGCAGCTGCGGCAGGTGGCGGAGCTCGGGCATGTTCAGGGCGCGCAGCAGGTTGTGGCTGCCGTCGAGGCTGTGCAGCGAGCGAGGCAGGCAGCTGGGCAGGCGCTCCAGGCTGCGGTTGGCCAGGGTCAAGGCCGAGGCTCCTGTGGTCAGGAGCCCCTCGCAGGGCGAGCCCGTGGCATTGCTGGCGTCACTCTCCCAGGGCCCCTGCTGAGTGAGTCGGAAGAGGGGGACCTTCTCCTGGAAAGTCTCTGCCTGGCTCCGGTGCAGCACATTCAGCAGCCACAGTAGCAGCAGGGTCCACCGCATGGTGAGTGCCTGGGGGAAAGACAGCCGGGCAACCCGTTAAATCCAGTGAAACCCCCAAACGAAGGGCAAATGTGTGTTCCCACCCCAGGGTGCAAGCCCTGGATGTTCATTGTGGACATCTCCTGTGTCGCCAGGTGCGCGGAGATTTTGCCCCTGTCTGCTTTCCCCCATCAAGAACCCCAGGCACTGTGACACTTCTTGCCCTTTCTTCTCTTAGCAATGCCTTTCCCTCTTCTTGTGGGAGGCCTCCCGCATTGGTCCGCTGTGGTCCTGAATCTCCCAGTAACCCCCTTCTTTTATTTATTCCTATCTCTTGAGCTTCAGTAGAGAGGGAATATTCCCCTTTCTGCTGTAAACAGATTGTAGATTCACAGCCGTGAATATCCTCGGTATTCTTCTGGGATAGAAATATGGGACTCACGGAAGATTTTTGTCATACCCAATAACACTCAATTGTCACGATTTTCCCATTAGAACTGCCCAGCTGTGGGTAAGTTGTAGTTTGCATAAAATAAATTCTGAGGTCCCTTTTTTAGGGGTAAGTTGAGGTTTGCCTTCAGGATAAGAAAACAGCCTTGGGGATTGGGACATTGGAGTCAACGATTTCCTGATCCTATATAGGTTTCAACAAAACCTCAGGCCTTCAGTGTCAGCACTGCCAGGGAAGGGTGGTTGAGAGTTGCTAGGTGGGAGTTTTAGGAGTACCTGGGATTGCACAGAGAAGCTGGGAGATCAGATTGTGATAGATCACACTGCTGTGGATTGGCTAGAGAGTGGCAAAACTACTTCTATCAGGCCTTGGTCTTGAAGTTACTGCATGATACTGCTCCCCCTCCCCCCCTTACTACAGATGTGTGTTTCTGCCTTGGCTGTAGGCTGACTACTAGATCTGAGCCACCACCCAGGCTCCAGGGAAAGGACCTCCCTGCTGCTATTTGAGGGTCAATGCAGGGAGAAAGATCCTAGAAACTGAGGCCAGAAACACATTCATCCAGCAATATGTCGTACTCACCCAGAAGCTGCCTTGTGGAGTGTGGATACCCCTTGACAGTCTTTGATCTTGTTTTATGTATTCCAGGAACCAGTGACTTAGAGAGCAACTCAGCTTTGAATGCCAGAGGGATTACTTTTTCTCAGCTGCCCTTCCCCCTCCCTGTCCACTGAGAGAGCCTGAGATTCTCCAGACTTGCAGCCCCTCCTTCCCCAAGACATTGTTGACTTTAGCCAACACCACATTGCCTGTCTCTCTCCTCCCTTCTGGGAAGTGGGCTGCCCCTCTCCAGATCGGGCACCTCCTCCCAGCCCTCCCCATCTCCACCTTTCCTTACTCCACCTCTCCAGGCTTGAGGAATGGAGGCAGAGAGCAGCTAGAGGTACATGAGGCAGAGGCAGCTCTGTCATTTCTCAGGAATCCCATTCTGTCTGCCAGGTGCTTCTCATTTTTTGGGATGGGTGGAGGCTGAATGGTGGGCTAGTAATGGTGAGTTGAATCCCCCTCTCCCAAGGAGGGCATGGGGCTCTAGTCTAGGGAAGGGCTTGCAGAGATTCACAGGAAAGTGACAGGAAAGGGGAACTTCAGAGGAGACAGAAGACAGATCTGCCTTTGGTTGCTCTGAGAACCAGTTCAGTGACAGCGTAGATGTTTGTCTCTCCTAAGGAGTGGGAACAAATAAAGGAGGCAGAAGTGGGGAAAGAGCATCCTTGCCCAGGGACCGGGACTATGGCTCCTGATTGTCAAAGTCCCCAGGTCTCTTAAAGATGTGATGGGACACCATGAACTTTGTTTACAGCATTGTTTAGAGCAGAGAGCACCCTTCTTCCGCAGAGCTTCAGAGAGCAGAGATGACGCATTTTACTTAAGAACCTTTGATCTCACTCTCTCCCTTCATTTCTCCCAGCCCCCCAGGAGGCCTGAGAGCAGGCCTGGGCTCATTTTCCCCAGTTCTGTTGAGTGCAAATCCTGAGACCAGAACTTTATATCTTTCCTTCTGTCATTCCTTATCTGGGCAACCCTGAGCAGTCCCAGGACACCGTTGGCTTATTTGGATAATTGTATGTCCTAGAGGTTTCCTTTGACCTCTTCTCTACCCAAAGCTTCAAAAACACCCTTGTCATGTAGATGTTAGTGAGGGGAAGAGGTGTTGCTCAAAAATATTGCTTGGTCTGTCCAAGCTGGGGCTGGTGGTACTGGGGAGGTCTGTTCTATACTCAGGATTGGGCCAATGCAGTCTCCACCCACAGCGTCTGGGCCCTGGCTCCAGAGCTAGAAATACTGCACTGTGCATGACCAAGAGTCCTAGCAGGAGGGAGAAGTTGAGAGAAAGGTGGGAAGGGGAGGGACAAGGGGGCTGGCCCAGAGGGACCAGCCAGTGGGCAGCTTGGAGTTGAGGCCCTTCCCTCTGCCTTTGCATCAAGAGTTCCCCAACCAAGAATCAAAGCCTGAGGCTTCCTTCAGAGTTAAACCAACTCAATCCACCCAGGTGAGATGATTGGCCACCTTGAGGCCAGCAGGGGCTTGGGGAATCCAGGCAAAGCTGGCCAGATAAGAAGAATCCAGATCCACTGAAATGTACCCTGTTCAAAAGAGATCCCAGGAGGAAGGAAATTGGTGAACCAGGAAGGTCTATAAAATAGGACCTCAGGGAGCCACGTCAATGGCACTCCTCTGTGAACCCCCAGGGTGAGTGGTCTGGAGAGGCCCTGGCTGAGGAAATCCCTGAGGTTATCACCTGTGCTTGCCTGGTGCTCAGGCCCTCCAAACCGGCTTCTTATCATGGGCTTCTTCAATAGTCCATCAGTGGTGGCAAGGGTCTGGCCTCTATAGATAGCTGATGTGCTGTCTGAACTTGGCTCTCTGGGCTGTTCTATTGTTATGGTCACCCCCCGCCCCAGCAGATACAACCACGGTGGGCTGTCCAGTCAGGTCCTTGAGCTAGGAAGGTTAATGACGCAGAGGCAGCTCTGTGTGGAAGAGTTTGCTTATTGTCCCTCCTCAGGTAGGGAGGTGGCTTTGCCCTTGTCTCCTCCAGTGACAGTATACACTATCATCATCACAGCTCCTTTTTAAAAAGATAGAGCCTAATGCCGTATGCATTATCTATTGAGTTCTCTCCAAGTATGATTTTTCTCATGTTACAGTTAAAGAAACTGAGGCTCACAGAAGCTGAGTAGGTTCTGGAGTGCTGTCTGACTTAACTGGTGAGCTGTCTGACTTAAGCACGGAGTTCAGTCACCTTCCATGGGCTTTATTTAGCATGTTAAATTACAGAGTTAATCTGTAATATTCCCCTTAAGCACAAAGAAATTTCTCCAGATATTTAGATAGACTCAAATCATGAAAGAAGTCAGAATGAGGGAGAAATTTTCTTTCATGGTTGAGCAGTTTATTCGTAAAATGCACTGAGCTGACTTCTTGGGTCACTGGGCACAGGACTGCAGAAGAATCCTGAGCAGGGCCCACCGGGCACCTCTCATGGAGGCCCCAGCCAGTTTTTTTCCAATCCTTTCTCCTCTTCTAACATGTCTTGGAGGTCAGGAAAGGGTGACTGAAGTGTTGTTCCCTTCATGGAAGGATGCCAAGAAGTATATGAAATTTCCAAGTGCCACACCAAATGTCACATGCCAAATGCCACACTGGGTCCTATCCCCCATGGCTTTCCCTGAGCCGTTCCTCCTGCCTGAGTGCTCCTCCACTCTTCCTTGATTGACTTAGTCTCTTGCATCAAGTGGTGAGAAGCCAGCCTCTGGTTCTGATTGGTTCCATGGTTCTTCTAGCAGCTTCAACCTCTGGGTACATCTGCCTTTTCCAGAACATAAAACAGCAACTCCACGGAGGGCTATGGGACCATGGATGGGTACTGACAGCACCTGCTATAGCTCCCATCAAGATTTCACCCAAGCAGACCCTCCCTTGCCTCCCGCAAGCTATATTAGGTGCCCTTCCTTGTTGTTCTTTTTCAGGTGATATTGGCTGCCTGCCCTGGGTGCTTGACATGTTTCTTCCATCACTTAGGAATGAACTTCCTGACAACAGGACCCCATTGGTTATCTCATTAGCCCCAGAGTATGGCACTTAGGAGAATGTCTGACAAGTAAAAAGGAAAAGGCATGGGAGGAATATGGTGGATCGTGATGTTCTCCAGTGTCCAGTGGGTGGATGGAGTGGGACTCAAAATAGGACAAATTAAACCCAAGAGCCTAAGATTTGCAATTCAAGTCCTCCAACATCCCAGTGTTGAGAAAGGCTAAGGTGAGGGTGAAGATGATGGAGGTAGAAAATTGAGTCACAAAGAATTTTGCAGCCCATTTTCCAACACACTCATGGATCTTGGGTGGAAATTTCTCTTAGAAGATCTATGTTAATAGAAACAGCAGCAGGGGAAGAAAGAACCAGTAATTAGGGGCTGGGGATGTGGCTCAAGCGATAGCGTGCTCGCCTGGCATGCATGCGGTCTGGGTTCGATCCTCAGCACCACATACAAACAAAGATGTTGTGTCCGCCAAAAACTAATAATAATAATAATAATAATAATAATAATAATAATAATAAGTATTAAAAAAAAGAACCAGTAATTACACACTTGGTTAACCTTCCTTTTTGGATTTAGATAAAAACCAGGGTTATAGATCCTTGGCTTCAACAGGCACTTTAGAACTTATCTGGTCTCATCACCCCACATCATCAGAGGGAGAAAACTGAGCCCCAAAGAGAAGGATATTGGCTTGTCTGAGGTCGCATAGTGGGGAATTCTTCTTTGTCCAGTGAGAAGGAAGGGAGACTCATTCTCACAATTCCGTTCTGGGTTATTTACATAGATGACCAGGTCACTCCTATCCAACATTAGCAATGTGTGCTTATCCCCATAGGTATGGCTGAGTCAATTTTCCTGGTGGGAGCCAAGCCCTGAAAAGAGTTTCTAGTGGTTTTGACTCCTGCTGTACCATCCCATCCCGTAAATACAGGAACAAATACCCCTAACACAGGTTGCCCCAGAAAATAAAAAGAGTCCTATTTGGCTTTCTTCAAAACTCTGGCAGCCCTGAGTGGGGTGAGGGGAACTGGCCCAGGTGACAGGTGACTGCCCAGCCCTGCTCTCCCCATGCCAGCTGGCTCTGCTGCAGGTTCTTTCCCCAAATGCTGGATCTGGAATGTGCAAACTTCAAACTACATTCTTCTCTGACACTAGAGATAAACCACAGGAATGGGAGGACGACTGAGGGAGGAGATGGTACCAGGTGGACAAGTCTCCGGAAGAGCAGTCTCCCCTGGAGTGGAATGCAGTTAAGGGGCTTTTAAGAAAAGGACCAAGATAACCAAATGAGTTCACGGATGTCCTGCCTGCAAGGAAGTGACCTTAAGGAAAAAACAGAGTCATGGGCTGAGAATTGGATTTATTTTCCTACTGAGGTTCACTCATTAGTAGTTCTACTACTGATAAGATTGCAACCTGAGAATTTGTGGTAAGTGTTGATTGTAAGAAGATACCATTAAAAGAGATCTTAAAAATCTGTAGCAGCAGAGGAAAGGTTCAAACTGGAAATGAGAGGCCAGACTCCAGTCTACCATTGGAAGGTCATGTGGCTGAAGGTCATGAGAGGAGACTGTATACACGGACTGTACACACATTCTGGAATTTACCCCAGGCAGAGGCAGCACATTAGAGGGAAAACAAACAAAAAACAAACAAACCTTAAACTGGGACACAGGTTGCTGGATTCTCATCCCCACACGGCTCCCATCTTACTGTGTTCTTAAGCTTCTGACAGTCTCAGTTTTCATCTGTAAAGTAAATGAATTGATTCAGCAATTCAGCACACAAATCCAGAGAACACGCCAGAGCGTGCTCTAGGGAGATACACACACACACACACACACACACACTCTGAAATCAGTAAGACTTGCACCTGCCTTCAAGCAGCTCCCAGTCTAGAACAGGCAGAAGACGGAACGACCATGCACAGTGTGTGCACTGAACCATGAGCTCTGATAGCTCAGGGAACGAGTCCAGCTTGTTTAGTGCTCTGTCTCCCCCAGGGTATTGGCAGTTCACTCATACAACGCATATGCCATAGTTTGGGTATAAAATATCCCCCGAAGGCCCATGTATTATTAAAGGCTTGGTTGCCAGCCAAGCACTACTGGAAGATACTGGACCCTGTAGGAGGCAGGGCTACTAAACAGAAGTTACGTCATTGGGAGTGTGCTCTTGAAGGGGACATTGGGAC